TGACTCCGAGGTGACTTTTGAGTCGACTCAAAAGTCACCTCGTTACTATGGCACACGTCATTTTTTCATCATGACATGGGGAGGATGGGGGGGCTACACGAGGGGAGGGGGGGAATGGGGTATGTGACTCCTCTACATCGCGTTGCATTGAGTCACATTGTGTTAGGACTAGAGATCTTCGTGTTGCAGGCCACCGAATGATGTAAGGGGAGATGACGCGGGAGTGGTCTAGTTTTGAGGCGCCTCAAAACTAATGCAGGCCACCGAATGATGTAAGGGGAGATGACGCGGGAGTGGTTGGATGGTGGTGCTCGGGGAAAACATCATCACAATCCTACGCACACTCCCACGCCCACCTTGAGAGCCAGCTTCCTCATCTTGTTGGTGGCGCTGAACCTCTGAATGCGCTTCAGCACTGGTCGTAGCCAGACCCGCTTTCACACAAACGAACACACTCGCACGCCCACCGTTCATCTCACAAGCACACTCCAGTACCCACCTTGAGCGCAAGCTTCTTCATCTTGTTGGCGGCGCTGAACTTCTGAATGCGCTTCAGCACTGCCGCGCCCAGCGGCTTGTCCGACGCCTTGTCCGCCGCCACCCACGGATGGCCTGCGCGGGTGGGGGGAAGAGAGGGACGGGGAGCAGAGGCAGGCGGGGGAGAAGGAGGGAGGAGGGAGAAGGCGGGAGACGGCTTATAAGACGTCTCAAAAGCACCGCCCCGCCCAGCGGCTTGTCAGACGCCTTGTCCGCCGCCACCCACGGATGGCATACACAAATGGGGGGGGATGGCGGGAGGGGAATGACAGGGAGGAACACGGGGAGACGAGAAGATACCGGGGTGGTGGGGGAGAAAGGGGTGGTGAGGGGAGAGACGAGAGGAAGGGAACAGGAGAATCGAGGACTCGATACAATAAGACGGGAGGCATACGTTTGGGAGAAATGCGCATGCATGAGCACGCGGATAAGGTCCTTGGCGACAAAAAGCACTCCCTCTGAGACACTTACACACACGCTCACCCATGAGAGAACATACCCACCCACGCAGACACATACACACACACACTCACAATGCCCTGCCCAACCCAATCCAACCCCACCCAGCCCCACCCAACCGGACCCAATGCATGTACCAATGCCCAGCTACTCGCGGAGGGCGTCAGCGGCGGTAACCCGCTTGTGCGGGTCAGCGGCTAGCGACAGGCTGCGATGCCCAACCTAACCCGGCTCAACCCAGCCCAACCCAACCCAACCCGACCCAATCCTTCCCTACCCAACCCAACCCAATCGAGTGCATCAGACAACAGCCACTCAATGAGGGCGTCAGCGGCGGTGATGCACTTATGCGGGTCGAGCGTGAGCATGCGGCGCACGAGGTCCTTGGCGCAACCTTAACCACCGCAGCTAGTGACAGGCTGCGATGCCCAATCCAACCGAACCCACCCAACCCAACCAAACCCAACCCAACCCAACCAAATCCAACCAAATCCAACCAAACCCAACCGAACCCAACCAAACCGAACCCAATCCACTCCAACCCAGTGCGCCAAATGCCCAGACACTCACGGAGGGCGTCAGCGGCGGTGATGCGCTTGTGCGGGTCGAGCGTGAGCATGCGGCGCACGAGGTCCTTGGCGGCATCGCTGATGTGCGGCCACGGCTCGCCCACCAGATCCGCGTTGCCCTTCAGCACCGCGTTGAAAATCTGCTTCTCCGTCGCTGGGGAGGGGGGGGAAGAGGGGAGACGGGGTCACGGGGAACAGGTAAATGAGGAACAGGGGAGGGGAGAATGGGAAGGGAAGGGAGAATGGGATGGGAGGTGGAGGGTAGAAAATAAGGATGGGGGAGTCGCAGGATTAAGCCTACGACTCGCACCACCACGAGGTCGGCGGCGTTACCTCGAGGACCGCGTTGGCGGCCTAACATCCTATCTATCGTCGCTGAAAAGTTGTCGTCTCAGAATCATATTCCTTGTGAAACAAAAAGAGTAGCGGAAGACTCACATTGGTCGGGCTCAACACTCTATTCCCAGAAGTCGTTGACACCTCGTGATTAAAAAACGCGAGTTGCTTCGAACCCGTACGCATAGAAGGGCGGAACATCGCGTCAAGAGAAGGCGAAAAATCACGGCGCAAAAACGTACGAGTCGACTCAAAACTCTCCAAGACGCTAGATGAACGCGATCGACTTACATCCATAGAAGGGCGGCGCGCCGCTGAGGAGAATATAGAGAATGACGCCGCAGCTCCACACGTCCGACTCCTTGCCGTACTTGCCCTTGAGCACCTCCGGCGCGACATAGAACGCGCTGCCGACCGTCTCCGTAAACACCTCGCCGTCCTTAAAAAATACCGACAGGCCGAAATCCGTGACCTTGAGCGGCGCGTCCTCGCGCTTGTTCGCGAGGAGGAAGTTCTCGGGCTTTAAATCGCGGTGGATGATTTTCTTTTGGTGGCAATAGTCGACGATGGAGAGGATTGTCTTGATGAGGCCCGACGCGGCGCGCTCGCTGTAGTGGCCGCGCGCCGCGATGCGGTCGAAGAGCTCGCCTCCCGCGCAGAGCTCCATGACGATGTGCACGTTCTGCTTGTCCTCGAACGCGCCGCGCAAGGTGACGATGTTTGGATGCCCGGCTAGATGATGCATGATGGCGATCTCCTTCCTGGAAACGCGGAGGAAGATGATGGAGGGTTAAAATAATAAAGGAAAAAAGAGGAAAAGAAATTCCGGAAAAAAAAAAGGAAACCAGATGGACATAACGAGGATATGCGAATGAAGCTTCTGAAGGTCTTCGGGCATTGCTTTTAAAGAGGAAAAGAAATTCCGGAAAAAAAAGGAAACCAGATGGACATAACGAGGATATGCGAATGAAGCTTCTGAAGGTCTTCGGGCATTGCTTTTAAAGAGAAACTATGGCGAGGTTAAGTCAAAGTTAGTCGCGGGATCTGGAGATTAAGATCGTCATTGGAATCGAATGTGGTCACAACTAAGAGCACATGCGGGAGCCTACCGGACGTTCACTGGAAAAATAATTTATTCTGAACAAAGCAAACTGAATCGGGCATTGCGGAAAAAGAGGGTAGCCACGGGGACAAAAAGAACCAATGCGAAAGACACCAACGGGCGGAAGTACTCTTCCCTAAACCAGTTGCTCTAAACATGACAGACAATCGCCGACAATCCTGAAGATTGAATGACCAATGTGGTCACTAGAATGCATGGAATGAATGCAAATATGTTTTTTTTTTCCTCCAGGTCAGCACACGAGAGCAGTGCGGCAATGTGGCTCATCTGATTCGGAAATGAGGCCCATTTAACGGCTACTGGATAGGCTCAGCGCGAAAGGAGAGCGCATGATGTTCGCAAAACTTGGGATACTTCCGAAATGTGGCGCAAGCAGACTCAGAAATCCCATCCCCATACCGCGTTGCGAAGAATAAAGTGAATTAGGGAGGACATTGTTCGGAAACATCAGCGGGGGAAGATATGTTGTTAGGGAAAATTAAACATGGGGAGGTTAGTAGAGAGTACCTGATGTCCTCGACCTCCTCCTTAGTCGACAGGCGACGCTTCGCGATGGACTTGCACGCCAGCTGCTCGCCAGTCTTCTTATCCGTGCACAAATGCGTCACGCCAAACTGTCCCTTTCCAAGCTCCTTCCCCATCACGAAGTGGTCGCTAATTTCAGCCGGCGGCCGGTTGAGGATGTTGGCCGTTAGCGTCTTGCTTGATTTCCGAAACATCTTGGCCGCGGGAAATGCGGTCTAGGAGTGTCGAAAAGTAGCGCAACGTGGCGCAAGGAAGGATTGATCGCAGATTTGTTGCAGCTCCCAGATGATTGGGAGAAACGAGTAATTAGTGTGGTGGGGGAGTAGCTGATGTGACAAGATAGGGAAAGGCTTAGCTTGGTCTTTTCAAGTGGGAATTGGGGGAGATTTTTGAAACCAAGGATCCGGGGAGTACGAACGTGTGGGGGGACGGGGGAGGAAATTGCAGGGGCGATGGGCAGAAAGAAACGTTCAAGGTGTGAAGAGGCGGTTGTGGAAGGACAACAGAAATGAACAAAAGGAACTTGTTGGGCAGAATAAAGCCCTGGGAAAGCGGAAGGTCGGATAGAAGCGCTATCAACATAATCTTGTTAAGAAGTGAGATGTGTCAAGTTGAAACTTTTTTGCAGATGAAGAAAGGAATGCCCCTTTTCAAAATAGCTCGCAGGTGCCCGATTTCCTTCCGACCACAGTCCGTCCTTCCGCATGACCATTTGCGCGTGGCTACGCGTCCGAGATGCTGTTGTTGATGTGTGCAATGAGATGTGATGTGATGGGATGGGATGGGGTGACTTGTCGGGGGTAGGAATCTGTCTTGCATCCCCGTCCAGTCTAACACCGCCCATCACCTCAGGCCATTTCACCCTCGACATAAGAAGAGTGTCCTTAATTGCAATCGGTTTTGTACACCGCCTTTGTTTCCACAAGCTGATCGTAAACGAAGCGCTAACAAGGTTGGTCTGCCTGCCCCACCCAAACAGAGGAGAAACAAGTCATTTGACAGAACTCAAATAATCCGCATAGGTTCTGGGAGTGTATCAAAGAGCGGGTGTATTATACATACAGGGCCTTGTGTAACATATGGAATGCTCGGCCCTTCCAGACAAGAACTCTCAGAGGTGGCTTGGAAGCAATCTTTTCTTGATCTAGCTTAGACTTCACCTCACCTGGCTTGCTTAGGTGGTTCACCATGCAGAATTTCATGCATGTGAGGGCCTATTATTGGCCAGTTCTAGACACTGCTAAGGTGCTTCCTTACTCATGGTTGATACCAAGAGACGCTAGTCTGAATGAAGCGTCGTCAAATGCAATAATCAAGATCAAAGAGCATAGAAACTCCAACAATGCCACCAGCCAGGTGGAGGAAAATTACTTCAAAATAATCGAGCTAGCTACAATGGTGCGACGTGTATCCTATGCTCAGTGAGCTTTGATTAACAGGACACCCTGCATTTACTTCTTCCAGAAAGGCTTCTGCAACCATGTACAGAAAACAGCAATTTTAATAACGTAGGCACGTATCGTGACGTTAGCGAACAAAATGGTAACAAGAATGAGAGGAAGAAGACGACATCATAAATGAAACTTACGCTCTCTTTCGTCTCTTTCGTCTTCTTCACAGACTTGGACTGCGTCCCAGGCCTGGAACCCTTACCCTCCCTAATGCTCACGAGGGCTGCACAACAGAAGCGGAATGGTTGAGAACGAAGTAAAGAAATGAGACGCGATAAGCAAACGCCGGAAAAAAACATAATGAGGGCATTGATGTTCTGTCAGCCATAGCAAAATGAGAGATTGACACTCTACAAAAGAAAAGTATTGCTGAGAGAAATCGCAAGACGTTGGGCAAAGAAAACTACCATAGAAAGACAAATGCACTTCGCCACGAAACGAGTTGGAGGTGACAGTTTAGCTAGAAAAGAGAACCCCATGCACACCGACGTACTCGAGTCAGTCTCGGTCCATGAGATCCGCTTCACGGTGGCGTTGTCGAGCCAGTCCATGAAGGACTCCTCCTCCTTTCCCTTGGCCGCCAGGACCATAGGGGTCATGCTCATGGAGATAGCAGCCATGGCGGCACGTGGGGAGGATGAGGTGGATGCCTGTGAAGATGGAAAGAAGTCGGTTTCTGGATCAGGGACCACGAGCAGGCTGCAAAGCAAAAATGGGGGAGAAATGGAGGTGATGGAGGTGGCCGAGGCAGCGGGCGGGAGGGGTGTGGAGAGGCTGTGGGGAGGCCGTGGAGGCGTTGTGGCCTCCAATCAAGGGGGATGAGGCTTGCGGAAGAGTAGGTTTGTGAAGGGAGGCTTTTCGCGTGGAGGCGAAATCGAGACTTCGATCTCGTCAGCCACACGAACCAGCTGAGGGTTGTATCGCAGTAACATCAAAAGATGCACTCGGTGCCACGTCAGACAAGATCTGACCTCGTGCCAGCATGGCTGGATAGGTATCAGCCACAAGCGCCGCCGAATCAGCAAAGGTAAATTTATCCGAAAGTGAATCGGTCTGTTTTGTACGATCTTCTGAACACTTTCCAGGTACAATCTGATACATGACGCCACGAGCGTGGTTTGTAGCGAGGATGGGAGAGGATGGAATCATTACGAAATGAACTTTCCATGCCATCTGTGAGTGATTTCTACTGCATCGCATCCAGCAACTTTTCATTGTGAAAATCACAGAACCACTGAGGCAGGAAATTGACTAATATCAGTCAACATTGAAGCCATTGTGAGGAAGACAAGAAAGTAAGCACCTGCACAACCTCACTCATAATCGGCCTCTTGAACGGGTCATTCACCAGGCACCATCTCGCCAACTCCGCCACCTTTGCAGCTGCTTGCTTGGGGTACTTATCCCCGAGCCTAGGATCCATAATCTTGGATAAATCTGCACTATTATGTAGGTACGGCCGCGCAAATTGAACTATATTGACTTCCGGTGGCGGTCGGCGCTGATCGATGGAGGGTCGTCCTGTGAGCAGCTCTAAAAGCACGACTCCAAACGCCCACACATCATTTTTCGGTGTTAGACGGCCTGTCATCATGTATTCAGGAGCTGCATACCCTGCCGTGCCGCGCACCTGGTAAATTGGCGAAAGTTTGGAAAGGGGACACCCACATGGGAGATGCTTAATTGGCTGCAGAGCCACGGTAGACGGAACCATACGAAAGTTTTGTAACAGTTGAAACCGAATGTGAGACGACTGGAAAGCTAACGTATTAGAACTGGGCAAAAATTTACCACAGAAGATAGCTACAGCCAACTGCAGTGCAAGGAGATGGTAGGAAGTGCCACTCTTTTTCTGCAAAGAGCACGTGTTGACATCTGAGCATACGCGTTTGTTGGACACATATTGACACCTAAGGAAATTCCAAACTGATTTTTAGTACACTCTTAAGTCACCACCAACGACGGCGTAGAATCTACCGTGGCTTCTGACAACATCAGATGGTACGTCCCTCACCTGCGTTGACACGTGTGTCTCTTCCCCCATGGGCCCTTCCCGTGCCAGCCCAAAATCAGACAGCTTGGGGCAGAAGTCCGCGTCCAGAAGCACGTTGGATGTTTTGAAATCACGGTAGATGATCTGAAGGGGGGTGGGGGAGAGAAGGGAGGAGCGGGAAGAAGGAGTGATATTGAAAGGAATGACAGCTTGGGGCAGAAGTTCGCGTCCAGAAGCATGTTGGACGTCTTGAAATCGCAGTAGATAATCTGAAGGGGGGTGGGAGAGGTGGGAGGAGCGGGATGAAGGAGAGAAAGTTGAAAGGAGAGTTTTGGGAAGAAGCCCGACGCTGTCCCCAGAACCACCTTGAGCTGCATGAGTGCACATTCAGTTTGCAGGATGTATCATGGAGCGGCATGCAGCACAGAGCAGGTGCGCCAGCACTTCAAACCCCAAGCACTCACCGGGACCTGCACCTCCTCATGCAGATGCGGCAGCCCTCTCGCCGTCCCCAGCGCCACCTTGAGCCTCATGAGGTGACTGTAAGGAGTCTCAGCAGTATTTCCCACACCTCTCAACCCCCAAGCACTCACCGGGACCTGCACCTCCTCATGCAGATGAGCCAGCCCTAGTGCCACCTAGAGCCAACCTCTCGCCGTCCCTAGTGCCACCTTGAGCCGCATGATTTCACACACAGCATGCAGCATGCAGCATGCAGCACAGAGGGAATGGCCCGTCCTTTCAACACCAAAGTACCCACGGCATAGCACTCACCGGGAGGGACCTGCACCTCCTCATGCAGGTGAGGTGAGCCAGCCCTCTCGCCGTCCCCAGCATCATCTTGAGCCGCATAATTGCATATAGGGCATGCAGAACAGAGCAAGCGGGCCAGCCCTCCAACCCCCAGTGGTATTGGATGGGAACTCACCGGGACCTGCACCTCCTCATGCAGGTAAGCCAACCCTCTCGCCGTCCCCAGCGCCACCTTGAGCCGCGTCGCCCAGTCCAACGGGGGCAGAACCGCTGCTGCCGCCGCCGCTGCTGCTTTCTTTGAAGAGTGTGAGTGGGAGGAGTGCGATGCGGTTGATGCAGATGACGCTTGCACATTGTGATTGTGGTGGTTGTTGTGGTGGTTGCTGCCGCTCCGATGGTGGTAGCTGTTAGTGTTGTTAGTGGCTGCAGCAGCCGCGGCAGTGGTGGAGAGCGGTGCAAAGAGGTGCCGGTCGAGGGAGGAGTTGGGGAGGAACTCGTAGACGAGGAGGCGGCGGTGGCCCTCGGCACAGAAACCGAGGAGCTTGACGAGGTTGGGGTGGTCGATTAGGCCGAGTAGCCGCACCTCCACCATCCACTCCTTGTGACCCTGATAGAGAGGCAGAGGCAGAAGCACAAGCAGGTGGAGAGAGAGAGAGAGACCAATGAGTGGGTGGAAGGCAGAGAGCAGGCGGCGGTGGCCCTCGGCACAGAAGCCAAGCAGCTTGACGAGGTTGGGATGGTCTATAAGGCCCAGCAGCCTCACCTCCACCATCCACTCTTTGCGGCCCTGTGAGGAGGAGGATGGGTTGGACGAGGGAAGAGAGAGGGCAGTGAGTGAATAGAAGGCAGAGGGGAGAGAGAAGGTGGCCCTCGGCACAGAATCCGAGCAGCTTGACGAGGTTGGGGTGGTCGATAAGGCCTAGAAGACGCAGCAACACCATCCACTCCTTGTGGCCCTGATGAGAGATGCAGAAACAATGAGACGTGGAAACATCCTAGTATGATTGTGATATGGAGGGTCGAGGGACTGCTTTTAATGTCTGAGGTGTTATGTACGTTCCAGTTGTCACAAGGCACGGGGCACGGGGTTTTTCTTTTGAGAATTCTCAAAAGATTTTACTTTTGAGAATTCTCATAAGTGAAAGTAAAATCCTGTTGAGAATTCTCATAAGTAAAATCCACATAACTTTTAATGTCTGAGGTGTTATGTACGTTCCAGTTGTCACAAGGCATGGGGCACGGGGAACGAAGGGATGGGGAAGGAAGGAAGAGGGAAGAGGGGATGGGGGAGGGAGGGAGAGGGGATGGGGAGGAAGAAGGGTTGGGGAGCAAGAGGGGATGGAGCAACAGAGCAATTGAGAAGAAAGGGATAATGGTGATGGGAGAAACCTGGATGGACGTGATTGTAAGAAAGGTGGATGAAGGTGATAGTAACAAATTGATGATGGTGGAAAACAAAAAAAAAAAAAAAAAAAAAGCGATTATTGTGAATGAAGGTGATAGTAACGATTTTATGATTAGGACTCATTTCCTTCATATCCCTTACCTGGAAAGTTGTACATAGATGTTTTCTCGCCCACAGGCCCTGCATTCCCACCTTTTTTTCTCTCTTTGTTTGGTTTTTTTTTTTCCCTTCTTTTTCTGACTTGCCGGCTCCCCGAAACTTCGTTTCGCTGTCACCTGGAAGCCCTTTTATTTTTCTTTCCTCAATTTCACCTGAAGGCCCTTCGATTGACCCTTCTTCTCACCTGAAGGCTTTTCAGTTGACCCTGCTTCTCACCTGAAGGCTTTTCAGTTGACCCTTCTTCTCACCTGAAGGCTTTTCAGTTGACCCTGCTTCTCACCTGAAGGCTTTTCAGTTGACCCTTCTTCTCACCTGAAGGCTTTTCAGTTGACCCTGCTTCTCACCTGAAGGCTTTTCAGTTGACCCTGCTTCTCACCTGAAGGCTTTTCAGTTGACCCTGCTTCTCACCTGAAGGCTTTTCAGTTGACCCTGCTTCTCACCTGAAGGCTTTTCAGTTGACCCTTCTTCTCACCTGAAGGCTTTTCAGTTGACCCTGCTTCTCACCTGAAGGCTTTTCAGTTGACCCTGCTTCTCACCTGAAGGCTTTTCAGTTGACCCTGCTTCTCACCTGAAGGCTTCTCAGTTGACCCTGCTTCTCACCTGAAGGCTTTTCAGTTGACCCTGCTTCTCACCTGAAGGCTTTTCAGTTGACCCTGCTTCTCACCTGAAGGCTTTTCAGTTGACCCTGCTTCTCACCTGAAGGCTTTTCAGTTGACCCTGCTTCTCACCTGAAGGCTTTTCAGTTGACCCTGCTTCTCACCTGAAGGCTCTTGGAGTCCAGCTTCTTAATCGCCACCTCTTGCTGCAGCGCCCTCCGCCCTTCCCCCACCCCTCCGCCGTTCACCGCGCCCCCAGCAGCGGCCCCCCCTCCCGCTGATCCTCCCGATACCCCCGAAACTGCCGCTGCGGCGCTTTCCAGCACGTTGCTCGCCGCGTTTGCCGCCGCGCTCGCCGCTCCCGAACCCTGCGAGCTTCCCGGTTTTAATACCCCTTTAAAGACCTTCCCGAACCCGCCAGCTCCTAGGAGCAGATCGTTCGAGAACCCCTTAGTCGCGGATTTTAACTCCGGATAGGAGAACACGCGAAGATCCGACCGTCGCAACACGTCGTCTATGAGCGACATATCGCGCTGCATCGCACGGTCGTGCGGCCGCCGCGGCGTGCTTAAAACGACGGATTGATCGGCCCCGGTATTGCCGTCTACTGCCGCATCTTGTGCCGCGGACAGTTGATCTGCCGCCGAATCCCCCCCTACCTCCGCCCCCGCCCCTGCTCCCGCCCCCGACGCCGCCGCAGCCGCTGCCTCTGTTGCAGTTCCGTTCGCGCCGCCGTCTCTAGCCTTATTTTCTCCTGGCTTCACGAGGGGCGAGGGCGAGTTCATCTTTTGCGTGATCCGAAGCGCGAACGGATTAACGTTCGACCCGCTAAACATCTGCACCGAGGACCCTCTGCTGCCACCACCATTACCGCCGCTACCGCCGTTTCCGCCGCCGGAACCCTTATTGGTGAAATTGAAGTTAAAAGACCTGCTGTTAGTAACACCGCCGCCGCCGAAACTCCCGCCGCCCGCACTGCCGTTCCCAGCGCTCCCGACTGCTGACGTGCTGTGGCTTCGTCGAACCTGCCTCTGCTGTTGTTGCTGCTTCTGCTGAGACTGCTGGGACTGCTGCCGCGGTGCGTGCGACGACGCTGGGCGAACAGGCGACGGAGAACCTGCTCCGTCGCCTGGCGACGTTCCGTGCGACCCGCCGAGCGGCGACGGCGCGCGCACGCCGCCAGGGCTACCTAACCCTAACCCGCCGTCATAACTCCGCCGTTTTCTTTGCCCCGACGCAACACCAGCTTCTTCCGCATTTATCTCGTCTTCTATAATCTCCCCGGCTGTTCCGACCGAGCCGCCTCCTACCGTCCCTCCTCGCGGCAAAGGCGGGGTAGGTACCCCTGCCACCGGCGACCCTGACAGGCTCCGAGGCACGTTTTGGCGGGGAGAAGTGGAGGTTCGGGAAGGGGAATCGCCCGACTGTGGTTGGTTGTTGTATGGTTCGGAGGCTTGTCTCTGGAGGAAGCGCGACGCGGCGGATGGCGGGGGAGCTTGGGACGAGGGAGAGCAGGAAAGGCTTTCAAACTCGATACTAACATCTGCGAGAACGTCACTGAGCGTAGCAGCGATTGGCGCGCGAGGCGAGGAGGTCAGGCTGTGCGGGTGATGCGTCGGAGAGCCGAGGTAGTTAAAGAAACGGCTTCTGATAGGCGGATGGCCCGAGGGAGTGCTACAGGCGGACGTGGGTGCGGAGACTGTTCCGCCTGCCCCGTCATCATCGCGCGCATTGAATGATCCGCCTAGTCCGAAACACTTCATGGGCGAATTGTTTGAATGGTTAGTGTTGAAGTAACGGGTGTGCTACGTTCAGCTGAAAGAAAACGCGAGGTTGCCAGACCGCTACGTAGAGGAACGTGATCACCTATTAGGGAGATCACGGCAACAAATAAAGCAAATGCGCCGCTCTCATTTCCCTTATCATGGAGAGCTACTGGCTCGCACATTCACGCTTGGAACTACAGTCTGGACTCGAGACTAAGTAAATGCTTCATAAGTTTCTGCCTCGGAGGTAGCGAGCGAGCGACTGGCAACTCGATTGGATGCCATGCTGAGCCTTTTCCCGAAGTCCCACCCCAAAGCTTGCCGTGATGCGGCCTCTGTCTTGGGCCACACAACACAGCCACACCCACACAGCAGTTCCCTGCTGGATTGTACCGTACTGTAATCCTGGATTAACAGTTTCTCGGGATTCTACCACAAGTTCTCCCCTTGTGGAACACTGACCCCCCTGCTGTGGTGCTCCGCGGAACGCAGCTTAGTAATTTTGAGCGGAAGCGCACCCACCTTGCCCGTGAACATCCACACCACAGACGAGAGGGGAAATGGAAGTGGCCCCTCGCAATGCGCGGGACGTCGGCGGCGGAACAAGCTGATTGCAGGCAGGGGAGATGGCGTCGTGTTTGCGGAAGAGGAATCGGCGGATTGCAGGCGAGGGAGGAGTTGGGGCTCCGGGGTTCCCCGTAACCAGAACAGCTCAGTCGGGTGGGGCTAAGGCGAGGCGCGAGAGATCGTCAAATGTGGTCCGTCGGCTTTGTAATTGGAGGTGCAAGCAGTTCCAAAGCAATGATACAGTGAAACCATTTTCTGGTAGAAGACGACAGAGGAGCCAAGTGGGATGAAACTGCGAAGGCGGACGTGGCTCGATGCTCCCAGCAAAATCAATAACCGAGGGTATTCACAAACTGACACCAGGGCAGGTTTTCCTCCAGGACTTCACACCGATCAGCTTGGCAGGGGTTTCGGTGGTTATAAAACCGCTCAGAACGCCCTTGAAAGTCGTCCACATGCTAGTTTCGTGGGCACTCTTGTACCGTGCGGCCCGTTCTTTCCGTGGCTGTTTTTGGCTCGCGTTGGAAACCCCCCCAGGGAACGTGAGACCCAACTCCACGTGATCAAAGTGAAGCCTCATAAGTGACTCAAACATACTCGCCTTTAGCGTACTCGTGGACAATCTCATGTGATAAAAAAGTAGCGAATATAACTCACAGCATAAGAAGGAAACACGAACACTCGCCAGCTCCACCCGTAAGCCATTGCAGCAGCCCCCTAGTAACTAATCCGCTTCAGGTGTACTGGCGCTCTCTGGTGCGCATACGACACAGACAAGGCCATGCCAGCCATTCCTAGGAACCCGACTTGCTTCCCGCTGGCATTGTCTAGGCGTGCTAGCCTGCTCGCTTCTCTCGAGCAGCGCCGCCGACACATCAGCAGCATCGTCTGCATTAGTGACCCTTACAAAGGATGCCCACATAACCCTACCACTATCTGCTCGTCGACCAAGAGATCCAGAGTCTATACGACCAGCAGCACTAGGCGACTCGGTAACGCACGATTCGCGAACTCCCTTTCTGCAAACGCACGACTTGCGAACGCGCGATTTGCAAACGCACGATCAACGATCGCAACAATGGTGTGGGCGAAAGATCCTCAGGGAGGCGAACCGCGTGATCCGGCCGAGCTCGCAGCCTTATCCGCCATCCACACCCTACAGGAATCCGGCAAACCCGTTCCTAAACTCGTCGTCTTCGATTTAGACTACACTCTATGGCCCTTTTGGTGCGAATGTCGGCGAAAGAGCGAGAACCCATGCCTGTATCCAGAAGCGGGTCAGGTTCTATCCGCTCTCGCCGCTGCAGGGATCCCCATTGCGTTCGCGTCGCGTACGCCGACTCCGGACATAGCTCGGGTGTTTCTGGACAAATTAGGGTTTCAAATGGAGGACGGTGGCGGCTTCAGCAGCGGATACGGCAGTTCTAGAGGGCACGGGAGCGGAAGGAGCAGCGGCAGAAACAGCAGCAGCAGCAGCAGCAGCAATGTCGGTGGCAATGCGAACGAGTTAAAGCGTGTCGTACGAGCAGCTGAAATCTACCCCAGTATGACCCACAAAACGGAGCATTTTGAGGCGATCCGGAGGCGAACGGGGATCGCGTATCGAGACATGCTGTTCTACGACGACGAGTCCAGGAACACGCGGGAAATCGGGTCCCTGGGTGTAACGAGTGTGCTTGTAGACGATGGTGTGACTGTAGACGCGCTCAAGTATGGGCTGGCTCAGTTTGTGAAAAAACATGAGGAGTCTCCTACAAGAAGCCACTAGGTTCCAAGAAGGGACATCAACATATGGGTGTAATCCTGAAACCCTAGGGGCTTCATTTCATGATCTGGTGGTCTGAAGCTGCAAATCTGAGCTGCTGGCGCTCAAGAAGCTGTCTGGTACCACCACCAGTACCTAGCGTTTCTTCCAGTGAACCTTTGCCTGCCGTTCCCAAGAACATGGGCTCATTAGGCACTTCAGTTCAGGATTGCGAAACGCCCTGAATCCCTGATTCCATGTGATGGAATGGCCTTCCCTGTCGTATTTATAGTACCGGAAGGACTGCTGCTCACATGGCTGGATGAAACACTGGACATATCTAGGTATATGCACCTACCATGGCACTGCATTGTTTGTGAGTTATGAAAGTGTCCTTTGAATAGTGCTATCAGAGCCTTGTGTTATCTAGGAACGTTTTCCTTCTACGCTCTGACGTCTGACGATTTGTCATGCAGCGGCATCTCCAGCCCCTCAGGCGGCTTCAGATACGCCAGCACACCAACATATGTCTCGATTCGGTTAACCACCGGCGCCACATCAGCGTCGTTCAGCGCCTGCAGCTTGACCCGATACTCGTTCCCCACAACGTCTAGCAGCTTCAAGAATTGCGAGCGGTACGTCAGGTGCATGCGGTAACCAGCAATCTGCAGGGTGGAGGGAGGGGACAGGGACAATGTGGGTGAGATGAATTCAAGATTATTAACCTTGAAGGACGTGTTTCAGAAGGGAATAACCAGCAGCAGGTCCGTCTTTTCAAACGTGGATCATCAAATCAAAATCTATGCTACCAGTGCAAAACACCTCAGGAAATTAATCATATGTACACATACCTTGAGAAATACTTCCAAGGCGGTGGCACATGCCCGATTGGCTGGGAGGTGGTTCAGCAGCCGGGCACACCACTGCCATGCATGGGACAAGCCAAAAGGGTGCACTGCGGTGCCAGGCGGTAGGGTCTGGCACGGAGGAGGAGAGAAGGGAGGACATGAAAAGCCATTGAGTTCCTAGCTCAGGAGTCACCTACAACAGCAAGCGCACACATTGCCTCACATGGGATAAGCAAAGGGGGGCAGTGTGGTGCCACGCGGTGGGACGGTTCAGCACGAAAGGGGAAGTGATGAGGGACAAGATGAGAAGGAGCAGAAATGGATGACAGGGGAAGGGACGGAAAAGTGCTGGAAAGCATGAGAAAAACTCCCTGTAGTGCCGTCTACACCATGCGTGAAACATAGCAGCAGTACGTGTGTTGAGTCAAAAGGTCTTGTAAATGATCGGGGCATTCATGCATTCTCTCTATAATCATACCTGGCAAATAGCAGCCATGAGGGTGATGTATCCAGTCATCCTCTCTATATAAGCATCGGTCGACTCCATTGTCTTCTTCCCACCCTCCCCCTCTTCCTCCCTGTACCTCAAATCGCGATAATAGGCGTCGTCAGAGGGGTAAGAGGCCTGTGCAACAAGTGGGGGTAATGTAGGGGAGAGACAGGAGGATGGGCCTGACACGATCTAGTTTTGAGGCGCCTCAAAACAAGTGGGGGTATTGAGGCGCCTGTGCAACAAGTGGGGGTAATGTAGGGGAGAAAGACAGGAGGATGGACCTGACACGATCTACTTCCTCCACCCTCCCCCTCTTCCTCCCTGTACCCCAAATCACGATAATAGGCGTCGTCAGAGGGGTAAGAGGCCTGCGGAAAATCATTGAATAAAAATAACTTATCAATAGCGGGGATGTTGAAGCAAGGGCGGATAATAAAGAGGGGATCTGTTTATTTCGGACCTCCCATCATCCTTCCTGAAACGTAAGCCACGGTATCAGGCATTGACAGATGGTAAACACATCCAAGACATGCACTTATTAAAGGGGGGGTCAAAGGGGGAGTGGCTAAGAGGGGCTGATAGAGAAGGAGAGAAATATAGAGGATGATAAAGAGGGGATGACATGCTGACTTTAAATACAAAAGACCATTCGGATGATATGGAAGGGGTAAGCAAGAAGGAACGTTTTCGGGCTGCTAATTTTCGAATTAAGGTTCCTCTACAAATAGGGTGCCTCGCTATTGAGCAAGCATACCTACAGAACGACACAATGGGGTGGTGAGGTGGAATGGCTTGGATGCATATGAAAGAAGAATGCCGAGCAATAGAGCGTACCTCGGAAAAGACAGTTTTGAGGCGCCTCACAACGACTTTTGAGGCGCCTCAAAACGACTTTTGAGGCGCCTCAAAAGGTGTGGTGAGGTGGAATGGCTTGGATGCATATGAAAGAAGCATGCCGAGCGATAGAGCGTACCTCGGAAAAGACATAGTGCTGTGGGATAGTGTAGATGCAGGTCTCGTTCAAACTTGCAATTAGAGTGTCCATGGCAATGGGTGCCTGCAAGACAAGAGAGCATACCAGTGGGTGGGAAAAAGAGAAAGAAAAGCGTCACCTTGTTTCGGGCCGAAACAAAGAGGTGAGCATAACTCGGAAGATGGGCGAAGAGGTTAAAGCCCGCGGCCCGAGTTGAGGACCGCAAGCGAGGATCAACATTAGTAATCTTGATTGACGACGGGGTGGAAACTTGATGATCAAAGCCGCCGCTGCAATTTGGGACTTAAACACACTCGCTCACAATACCCCTGTCAACTTTTGACAGCACCACCCCAACAGCGCAGTGGCCAACCTTACAAAGGTTGAACAACTTAGGCTGCGGGCTTTAAGCGCCCAAAAAATGGAATTGACAGTCACCGAATTCACAATAACTTGCGCGAGAGCAATATTCTAGGCGATCTTTATATTTGCCTCGAAAGCGAGACGCCTCAAGATTGGAATTGACACTCACCTGGGAGGCCACGTTCACTATGACTTGCGCGAGAGCAAATGCGAAAGATGGTAACTTGGTTACTTGGGACTCGCACTGGGATAAGATCTGCATGTGGGGGTCCAAGGGGTGCAAGGGGTCCAAGGGGTGCAAGGGGTCCAAGGGGTGCAAGGGGTCCAAGGGGTGCAAGGGGTCCAAGGGGTGCAAGGGGTCCAAGGGGTGCAAGGGGTCCAAGGGGTGCAAGGGGTCCAAGGGGTGCAAGGGGTCCAAGGGGTGCAAGGGGTCCAAGGGGTGCAAGGGGTCCAAGGGGTGCAAGGGGTCCAAGGGGTGCAAGGGGTCCAAGGGGTGCAAGGGGTCCAAGGGGTGCAAGGGGTCCAAGGGGTGCAAGGGGTCCAAGGGGTGCAAGGGGTCCAAGGGGTGCAAGGGGTCCAAGGGGTGCAAGGGGTCCAAGGGGTGCAAGGGGTCCAAGGGGTGCAAGGGGTCCAAGGGGTGCAAGGGGTCCAAGGGGTGCAAGGGGTCCAAGGGGTGCAAGGGGTCCAAGGGGTGCAAGGGGTCCAAGGGGTGCAAGGGGTCCAAGGGGTGCAAGGGGTCCAAGGGGTGCAAGGGGTCCAAGGGGTGCAAGGGGTCCAAGGGGTGCAAGGGGTCCAAGGGGTGCAAGGGGTCCAAGGGGTGCAAGGGGTCCAAGGGGTGCAAGGGGTCCAAGGGGTGCAAGGGGTCCAAGGGGTGCAAGGGGTCCAAGGGGTGCAAGGGGTCCAAGGGGTGCAAGGGGTCCAAGGGGTGCAAGGGGTCCAAGGGGTGCAAGGGGTCCAAGGGGTGCAAGGGGTCCAAGGGGTGCAAGGGGTCCAAGGGGTGCAAGGGGTCCAAGGGGTGCAAGGGGTCCAAGGGGTGCAAGGGGTCCAAGGGGTGCAAGGGGTCCAAGGGGTGCAAGGGGTCCAAGGGGTGCAAGGGGTCCAAGGGGTGCAAGGGGTCCAAGGGGTGCAAGGGGTCCAAGGGGTGCAAGGGGTCCAAGGGGTGCAAGGGGTCCAAGGGGTGCAAGGGGTCCAAGGGGTGCAAGGGGTCCAAGGGGTGCAAGGGGTCCAAGGGGTGCAAGGGGTCCAAGGGGTGCAAGGGGTCCAAGGGGTGCAAGGGGTCCAAGGGGTGCAAGGGGTCCAAGGGGTGCAAGGGGTCCAAGGGGTGCAAGGGGTCCAAGGGGTGCAAGGGGTCCAAGGGGTGCAAGGGGTCCAAGGGGTGCAAGGGGTCCAAGGGGTGCAAGGGGTCCAAGGGGTGCAAGGGGTCCAAGGGGTGCAAGGGGTCCAAGGGGTGCAAGGGGTCCAAGGGGTGCAAGGGGTCCAAGGGGTGCAAGGGGTCCAAGGGGTGCAAGGGGTCCAAGGGGTGCAAGGGGTCCAAGGGGTGCAAGGGGTCCAAGGGGTGCAAGGGGTCCAAGGGGTGCAAGGGGTCCAAGGGGTGCAAGGGGTCCAAGGGGTGCAAGGGGTGCAAGGGGTGCAAGGGGTGCAAGGGGTAGAGAGATGAGGATTGGGCGGATGGGTGGGTGGGTGGGTAGGATGGAAGGAAAAAAAAGGTCACGAGATGTTCAGTTTCACAAGCCAAGAAGGTTGGGTGGGTTGGAAGGAAAGATTGAAAACCACAGGCCACACAATGCGATGCAAGGACTGAGAACGAGGAGTGAGAGGAACGGGGGAGAGGAAGCGAAAATGCAAGGGTGAGAACATCTTGGGGTGAGAACATCTTGGGGTGAGAACATCTTGGGGTGAGAACATCTTGGGGTGAGAACATCTTGGGGTGAGAACATCTTGGGGTGAGAACATCTTGCGGGTGAGAACATCTTGCGGGTGAGAACATCTTGCGGGTGAGAACATCTTGCGGGTGAGAACATCTTGCGGGTGAAAACATCTTGCGGGTGAAAACATCTTGCGGGTGAAAACATCTTGGGGTGATAACATCTTGCGGGTGATAACATCTTGCGGGTGATAACATCTTGGGTGAGGAAACCTTGGGTGAGGAAACCTTAACAGCAGGAGTGCCGTGAAATTAGCAGACCTCTTAATTGACTTGTATAAAGCAACTCACCTTGGAGGCGAAGGTGACTGCAACGAACATCTGGGGAAGAGATGGGTCCAGCAGGAGCCCCGTGAGATCTTTAGACTTCTTGCTGCGTGATTGGATACAGAAAAAAGGGGAAGAAACCCTATTGACAGCATTAATCGTTGGAGGCACTAATCGTTGAACGAACACGCACCAGAGCACACACACACACACACGCACGCACGCACGCACACACACACACACACACGCACACAGAATGTACGTGTAACCCTCCCTCATGTTGGGACCTGCTCATGTCATAGATATGACCACATCAAGCCACATCACTTGAGGTCATGCCACGTCATGTCAGGTCATGCCATATCATGTTAGGTCATGCCGCATCATGCCATGTCACGCCACGTCATGTCAGGTCATGCAACATCACGCCTTACTCGATTTGTTCGTGCGAGGCTGAGATCTGCTGAACCAGCAGAATGATTCGCCGCTCCACAGTCTTGCGGTCCTGCGGTGGGATGCGGTCAGATACGGTGGGAATCGGTATGATGTGGTGCGATGCATTGAGTTGCAGTTTAATGCAAGGAGAATACAACACAGTGTGAATGAAGGGACGAGATGGATCATCAGAGACGGTGTCATGCATTGGGATGCGGTCCGGCGCATTGCATTGCGGTGGAGGCAACAAAAGACAGAGTAGCCCATCCATCCATTATGCCATGATTATGACAGAGTAGTTCTCACCTTCTTCCGAGAGTTATCCGCCATGATGGGAGCAATCTCATTGCGCAATGCCTTCAGCTGTATGTATGCAGTGGGATGCGGTGTGGTGCGGTCCAGTGCTTTCCACCCATTCGCCCTGCCCTCACCTTCTTCCGTGCATTATCAGCCATGATGGGAGCGATCTCGTCGCGCATCGACTTGAGCTTGTGAATGCACTCTGGTGTGGTGAGATACGGTGTGATGCGGTCCGTGCGTTTCCACTCGGTAGCCCTGCCCTCACCTTCTTCCGAGCATTATCAGCCATGATGGGAGCGATCTCATCACGCATTGTCTTCAGCCGTGCCAGCCTGCCTTCGCGCACAATGTGATTGCGGAGCAGCAGCAAGGCCAGCTCAACGTCCTCCTGCCCTCACCTTCTTCCGAGCATTATCAGCCATGATGGGAGCGATCTCGTCGCGCATCGCCTTGAGCCGTGCCAGCCGGGCCTCTGCCTCCTTCGCTGCCCCTTCTGCCACTCGCACTTTGGAACTCCTCTGCGCTGTGAAGGAGAAAGCATTGTTGGGAAGAGAAGGGGAGATAAGTGAGCGTTTTTTGAGGATTTTCAGAAGGAGCCAGGGAGGAGGGAATGGTGTGCATGCTGCAATGAGGGAGAGGCATGCAGCATTTGGGCGCAAAAATAATGCAAGCCTGCATTTGGGCGCAAAAATAGTCGACTCGAGTTACCTTTGACAATCACCAACAGCATTCCCTTTGGGACTTGTATCACTTGCCCACTCCGCCCAGCATCGTGTTCCGCTTAAATGCCCTATCATCACCCCCATCACCGCATGTCACCACTACTCATCCCCCCCGTCCGTCCCACCCTCACCTTGCTTCTTTTTTGCTTCCGCAGCTGCTGCTGCTTTCGCCTGGAATGAGGGGGGTAGGGAGCAGCAGAGGGAAGGATAGGAGGATGTATAATAACAGATAGCCACGTGAACAAAACATAGTCACACCAAGGAATCGAACGCAAGCACACATACATACCAGAAAAGAACAAAGGCACACACACATACAATCACACAAGGTTCAAAAATACGGTTTTCGTATTTTACGGTCCGTTTTTTACGGTAATTTTCCAAAAAACGGCGTTTTTTTGTTCGAGAACTGTTGACACCAAGAAAAAAAAGGGAAAAACAAGGTCGTATACATTTTCAATCATGCCGACAAGCGCACGCATGCAAAGAGGGTTTCGTCCTCTTCATCCTGGTACCTTTCGCCATCAATTTGGTCCCACACATCAGCCGTTTTTTCTTCAAATTAAAAACACCTCCTGGAACCGTTTTAAACCGTTTTTTACGACCGTTTTTTACGGTACCGTTTTTTACGGTAAAATTTCAATAATACGGTCGTTTTTTTTTAACCTTGCAATCACATAACCCACCCCACCCAGCCCTCCCCCCAAAAAACGTCGCCTGCCTGCCCTCAGACTCCCTCAAATCCCCCACCTCTGCTGCTGCCCTCGCGTCTGCAGCATCAGCAACTGCTTTTGAGAGTTCTCAAAAGCAACTTCAATCAATATTGCTGTGTGATTTGTACGGTTACCTCTGCTGCTGCTCTCGCGTCTGCTGCATCAGCAACTGCTTTTGAGAATTCTCAAAAGCAACTTCAATAAATATTGCTGTGCGATTTGTACAGTTACCTCTGCTGCTGCTCTCGCGTCTGCTGCATCAGCAACTACTCTTGCTGCCTTAGCTGCTCTCCTGCCCGTTTCCACCTCCTGCTGCTGCCTTGGCCCAGCGATTGAGTCCGCACCTCAACCCAAACCAACACAACCAAACCCAACCCACCTCTGCTGCTGCTCTCGCTTCTGCTGCATCGGCAGCTGCTTTTGCCGCCTGGGCTGCTTTCCTACTCGCCTCCACCTCCTGCTGCTGCCTTTCCACCTCCCTCTTCCGTTCCTCCTCCTTTCTCCTCTCCTCCTCCTCCTTCCTCCTTCTCTCCTCCTCCTTCCTTCTCCTCTCCTCCTCCATCTCCCTCTGCTGCTTTGCCCGAAGCTCAGCTTCGATCTCGGCTCGGCGCCGAGCCTCTGCCGCTGCTGCCTCTCTCCGAAGCTGCGACTCCCCAGCCTGCAGTGAAACGAATGAACAGATGCAGGGAGATGAGATGAGAAAAATATATATTATATAGACTCGACTTTGGAGACGTCTCAAAAAAAGTTCCAACCTCTTCTTGAGGCACCTCAGAAGCTGCAACTCCTTAGACTGCAGTGAAACGAAGGAACAGGAGCAAGGAGATGAGATGAGAGGGAGAATCCAACCTCTAGTATTGCCTGGTTACCATCACACTCTGGTACCACTGCCTTGTGGTTACCATTGACGTACGGTTACCATCGTATTCTGATTGCCACTAAATTGTGGTTATCAGTGACATCTGGTTACGACTAACCTCTGATTTCTGCTCGTGCTCCTGAGACAGCCGACGGATGTGAGAATCCCTCATCTCCTCCCTGTGTACATGCATGCACCCATGCACCAATGCACACATACACACGTGTACACACACACACACACACACACACACACACACACACACACACACACACACACACACATGCACACATACACACTTGCACACATGTGCACACATGTACACATGCATACATTTAGATACGACAAGAGGAAACATTGAAACACTACTTCTCAACATGCATAATTCCCCAACCTCACCAATCCACCCACCACACGTCAATCACAAGCCCATTCCCTTCGCCATCAGCAGCAGCACCCACTCACAGTCACACCCACTCACACGGCCTGCCAGTGCTCCCTGTCAAGCCGAGCCAGTGTGGTCTGCACCGCCTCCCGCTGTGCCTCAACCGCTGCTACGGCTGCCCGCCCCTTCTCCCGCTCCTCCATGAGCCTCCCCTCCAGCCGCACCCGCCGCTGCCTCACCTCCTCCTGCCAAGCCGTGAATCGGGATGTGTGGGGGGGATGCGTTGTAGGGAGGGGTTGGGTTGGGATGAAGGGGGGGTCACAGGCACACACAGCAAGACTGAGCCTCTACCGCTGCTACAGCTGCCCCCCGTTTCTCCCGCTCCTCCATGAGCCGCCCCTCCAGCCGCACCCGCCGCTGCCTCACCGCCTCCTGCCAAACAGTGTGGGGGATTAGGGAGTGGAGGGGGAAGGGGGATGGGGGAGGGGGGGAGCGGGAGAGAAACGGGGTGGAAGGGGGTGAGATGGGAGTAAGGGAGCATCAGAGGTGGTAGGGGAGGGAGAGAGGGGATGAAGGAGGTACAGCAAGACTGTGCCTCCGCTGCTGCCGCTGCTGCTGCTGCCGCTGCTGCTGCTGCTGCTGCCGCTGCTGCTGCTGCCGCTGCTGCTGCTGCTGCTGCTGCTGCTGCTGCTGCTGCTGCTGCTGCTGCTGCTGCTGCTGCTGCTGCTGGGGCTGCTGCTGCTGCTGCTGCTGCTGCTGCTGCTGCTGCTGCTGCTGCTGCTGCTGCTGCTGCTGCTGCTGCTGCTGGGGCTGCTGCTGCTGCTGCTGCTGCTGCTGCTGCTGCTGGGGCTGCTGCTGCTGCTGCTGCTGCTGCTGCTGCTGCTGCTGCTGCTGCTGCTGCTGCTGCTGCTGCTGCTGCTGCTGCTGCTGCTGCTGCTGCTGCTGCTGCTGCTGCTGCTGGGGCTGCTGCTGCTGCTGCTGCTGCTGCTGCTGCTGCTGCTGCTGCTGCTGCTGCTGCTGGGGCTGCTGCTGCTGCTGCTGCTGCTGCTGCTGCTGCTGCTGCTGCTGCTGCTGCTGCTGCTGCTGCTGCTGCTGCTGCTGCTGCTGCTGCTGCTGCTGCTGCTGCTGCTGCTGCTGCTGCTGGGGCTGCCCGTCCCTTCTCCCCCTCTGCCATGAGCCTCCCCTCCAGCCGCACCCGCCGCTGCCTCACCTCTTCCTGCTCAGGGGGGTTTGGGTGGGAAGGGGTGATCAGAAACGCCTCCCCTTGTCCCGCCTCCCCCAGTTCCACCTCCCCAAGTTTCACCTCCCCCAGTTCCACCTCCCCCAATTCCACCTCCCGTCCCCTGCAGTCTTTATCACAACGCACCTCGCACCTATTTTTGAGTCGACTCAAAAACAGGTTGATCACACCGCACCTCGCACCTACTAAACCACCACCCCGCGACGCCATTCCACAAACGTACCTCCACCTCAGCAGCTACTTTCCGCTCCACCTCCCCCAGTTCCGCCTCCACCCGCCTCACAGGCCGCGCCACTGGCCTCTCCGCGTCCAGCGCACTCCCCCTTCCGCCAAAACTCCCCCTCCTCTTCCCCCCATCTCCGCCAACCCGTTCCCCATTCCGCCCGTCCCCCTCCCCGTCTGAACCGCTAGAGTCGCTGCTGCTAAGGCTAATGTGAAACGACGCTTGCCGCGGCTTCTTTCCGCCGCTCCCCAAGCTTTTCCGCCTGTCCTTCCCCGCGCTACCCGTTTCCCCGCGCGCGCTAGGAGGCGAATAGAACTTCCCCCCTAACCCTCCGCCGTATCCTGTCTCCTCCCTCTCCTCGTCGCTGCTGGAACTGCTGCCCGCGGATCCTCGACCAGCCGTCATCCACGCCGGGGATCGCGCCGGAGATTGCGCGGAGTCTCCCGGTTCTGCCGGCCAGTAGGGGACAGCGCCGAAAACGCCGTCTCCAAACACGGCGGGTGCTGCAACGGCGGTGATTGCTGAGCCTTTTTGGAAACGACGCGAGGATTTCGCTGCATATTGTGCAGCATTTCGCGCGTGGATCTTGGCGGGAACTGGGCCCGTGCGCCGTTGGATTGAGTCAAGTTCGCGGTTAAGATCGTCTAGCGACCAATGGGAATGGGGATCGAGTGCCACGTGGCCATCCATGCTCCTGCCGGCATTATCCATGCCAGGACTGCTAGTCAAGTAGATACACGCGCTAGTTGTGGCTATCGATGGTTAGGTATCATCTAGGAACCTCCATAACACTGACGACTTGGTGCGACGCGTTGATGACTCTGACGACCCTCGCGATTGAGAGCATGACACCCCAAAACAAGATGCATGTCGCACGCTGCGACCGCAAAACCTATCCGCATTACAGTCGAGACACTGGCGGAAATGTAGAAGACCTGTTTTAACTTCTTATAATATATCATAAGCAATATCATTAACCTTCTGAGTAGGATAAATTTTCCTTCTTGCAGCATCTCCATGAGCCGGTTCACACGAAGGATGTCAACTCATTGAGCAGCCAATCGCCTGCACTGTATGAAATTTGTTTTGGCCTAATTGAACATGATACATCAACTGTCATGCATGACATACAGAATCTGTTTACTTTCTCTTCCCTTTTCTCCCTTTCGTGCCCCTCCTACTCCTCCCGAACTCCTCTTCCTCCTCTACTGCCATCAACTTCTCGAGATTCTTCCATTCATCTTCCCCTCTCGACCCTGATTCATCGTCTTTATCTCCACTTCCATTCCTTCTCCCATTTCCACCCAATATCACCTCGGACCTACCATCCAGCATTTTCCGAGAACCTCCAGGTGTTCTTGTAGTAGCAGCAGTCGATACCACCTGAGCTTCAGGTGAACCAGGGCTGAAATCAGGAGAATTTGCCGCTCTTCCAGGTGAGATTCTGTAATCTCCTGAAGGATTTTGCCCACCCTCAGACCGAGATACTGGTGGGTCCATGTCATCTGCTCCTCTCCTCGATCCCCAGGTAGCTGCTGACTTGGCACCAGTCACACATGACCTGGCAGTGGTTTCTGCTGACCTGGCAGCGTCATAAGTAAGGGAAGCTCCACCAGACGATGCTTCCCTTCCCAGAACATCTGCTTCTGAAGAGAATCTTCGATGGGAAGCTGGACGGGTGGCAACAGTTCCTTGAAAACGCCTTGCAGCTTGATCACCATTGTTGCCGGCTGGCAAAGCAGCAGCAGCAGTACCGCCACTACCGCCACCATCACCACCACCACCACCACCACGAACATTACCCGAAGTTGCAGCAGCACTACCATCCCCACTGCCACGGCCATTACTTGCAGCCGCATCCGCAGTGGCAGCAGAAGCCTGTGGGCCGCGCAGGGGGACAAGCATGAAGTTGAGTCCGAGCACCTGGGCGGCAAACTGCTCCTCGGGACAGCTCAGCAGATACACCAACTCCCGCCGCCTCAGATTTTGCTCCCTGCTGCTCGGCCTTGCAGGGGTGCTGCTGCTGCTGCTACTGGTGCTGGTGCTGGCAGTGATGCCACGTGGCGGGCCACGACTGGCCAGCACGCGGAGGCGGCGGCGGATGCGGGTGTCGAGGGAGTAGCTGAAGAGCTTGGGGAAGAGCACCAGGTCGGAGCGCGTGCGTGTATAGTAGCTGCTGGTAGTGCTCGTACTGCTGTTGTTGGCATTGGGACTGCTGGTGCTGCTGGTGACGCTGGCGCTGCTGGAGACGATGGTGTTGGTGCTTTCAACGCTCTTTTCCACCCCCTTCTCCTCCTCCTCGAGCCAGAAGTCCAGTTTCGGCCGAAGCACCGCAGCAACGCTGTAGCCCAGGAGCGGTGGGTACCGAACCACCATGCCTGCCACGTCAGCACGGGAGAAGCCTCGGGAGTAGAGGTAGGAGATCCTGACACGTGGAGACATGGGGGTGGATGGAAAGAGAACAATGGGGGAGGAGAGATAAAGGAGAAGAATTGAGGAAGGCTCAACATGTGGGGGGTAAAATTAGAGAAGGTAAGGAGCTTTAGCGAAGCAGCACACAGCCCTACACAACAGTATGCTGACTTTCCCCCATTCATCTATCACACTCAATTGCACCTCCCACCACCACTCACATGTTTCGCATGGCAGTGATGCTCATGGTGAGAACTTCAGGAAAGCGGCACACAACACACCACACGACACACCACACGAGCACCCACGTGCACACCCACACACCCCATTGGGGTTTGATTGATCTCACGTGCACACCCACACACCCCATTGGGGTTTGATTGATCTCACGTGCACACCCACACACCCCATTGGTGTTTGATCGATCTCACATGCCCGCCCAGCATAGCACACCCCTCACCTGTTCCGCATAGAACTGACACTCATGGTGAGCACTTGGGGGAAGCGGCACACCACACACACACCCACACGCACAGCACACCCTCACATCCCATTCAAATTGGATTGACCTTACCTGGCCTGCCCAGCATGGCACACCCCTCACCTGTTCCTCATGGCATTGACGCTCATGGTGAGCACTTCAGGGAAGCGGCACACCACACGCGCCACCTCCTCTGCTGCCACCACGCCCACCTCCCCCGTGAGGAAATCCCCTGACACACAGAAATTGAGTTAGGGCCTCACCTGTTTCTCATGGACTTGACGCTCATAGTGAGCACCTCAGGGAAGCGGCACACCACACGCGCCACCTCCTCTGCTGCCACCACGCCCACCTCCCCCGTGAGGAAGGCCGCCTTGCCTTGCAGCACCGCGGGCGACAGGCAGAGCAGGCCGGGGCAGCGGAAGATGAGATGGGCTAGCTCGTGGGAGGGAACGCTGAGGTTTTCTTGCAGCCAATCTAGTGACTGTGAATGGGAGGAAGAGGGGTAGGAGAACGGGTCAGGGAAGGGGGCGGGGAAAGGAAGAGCACATGTATGTGAGGAAGGCCGCCTTGCCTTGCTGATCCGCGGGTGACAGGCAGAGCAGGCCAGGGCAGCGGAAGATGAGATGGGCTAGCTCGTGGGAAGGAATGGAGAGGTTCTCTTGTAGCCAGTCTAGTGATTGGGAGAGAGGGAACGATGGGGGTGGGGGGGGACCTTGAATGGAGGCAGGCAGGCAGGCAGGAAAGGATGGAGGAAGGGAAGGAGGGGCAACCCAGCACTTGGCCCAAGTGACTGTCCCATTCCATCTAAACGGACCCACCTCCCCCAGTCCAGTCAGTCACACCCACCTCCCCCAGTTGGTGCCTGGGGCGGCACAGCAGAGAGGGGCTGGCAGAGAGCACGCGCACCATCTCCCCACGCGTCAGCCCCACGCCCTGTAGGAACACGCCAGCTGGCGCGATGCTGTTGGCCGGAGAGAGCGAGAGCAGCTCGGGGCAGCGCGTGAGCATGGGGTCGACCTTGCTGATTGGTACCTGATGTGGGGGGGAGGGGGGGAGGGGAGAGAGGTAGGGTTGAGCTAGCAAAGAGGTAGGGGAGGGTAGAAGGGGTTGGGGGAAGAAGTGGAAGCAGATCGGGGCAGCGCGTGAGCATGGGGTCGACCTTGCTTATGGGTACCTGAAGGGGGGGGGGGGGGAACGGCGGCCAATGTTGACAGGACCTGGCGCACAAGAAGCGGCATGTTGGGAATTGTGGAAAGCAGCAGCGAGTGAGCGTTGGATCGACCTTGCCGAAGGGCACCTGGGGAACGCTCATGCGCTGCTGCTGCTGCTGGGGAGGAGGGGAGGAGGGAGGGGATTGAGGAGGTAGGGGAAAGGAAGTGGGAAGGTGGTCGAGAGGGTCTGAGAAGCTCAATTGCCCAAAAAAAAAAAAAAAAAAAAAAAAAAAAGGCATTTCATATGGTGAGGGCGGACGGATGCAGACTATTGAGGTGCCTCAGAGTTATGTGACATAACTTATGTCGAATGGGTGAGGGAGCACTGCGAGCAACCTGGGCTACTGCCGGGCCGGCAGCAGCAGCAGCACAGGCCCGCAACAGCATAGGAGCCTGGTGCCAGCACAGGCAAGCAGCACAGGCCAGCAGCACAGGCCAGCAGCACAGGCCAGCAGCACAGGCCAGCAGCACAGGCCAGCAGCTCAGGCCAGCAGCACAGGCCAGCAGCACAGGTCAGCAGCACAGGTCAGCAGCACAGGTCAGCAGCACAGGTCAGCAGCACAGGTCAGCAGCACAGGTCAGCAGCACAGGTCAGCAGCACAGGCAAGCAGCACAGATCAGCAGAGCAGAGCGCACCTTGAGAGTACTGGTGATGGCCTCGGCTACGATAGGCGCGTTTAGGAAGACCGACGGGGAGAGCACCGGAGGGAAGCGGTTGATGATGAGTGGCAGGTCCCGCACTCGCACTCCCAGCTGTGACGGCGTGGGGGATTGAAAGCAGACAGCAGAAGGGGAGGTGGTGGATGGGGTTTTAGCGAACTGGCAAAGGAGGTTGAAACAGAGAGAGCAGTGGAGAGAAAATTGAGGAGGAGAGGCAGGACTCAAGACAAACGAAAGTAGGGTGGTTGAATGGGGCAAGCAAACAGACCTGCTTGAGTTGCCGCTTGCATGCCAGCATCCGTGCCTCGACCTCCGCCTCCCACTCTGTCCTCGATGCCAGACCTACGACCGACACAGACTCGATCTCTGCTTCTGACTTGGATTCCGGTTCCAAAGCAGCTGCCCACTTCCTTTCCCCCTCCTTCCTGCCATTTCCTGTCTGACTGACGGAGCGAGGGGAGGAAGGGCGGGGGGAGGAGAGGCGAGAGGAGGAGGAGGGGCGGGGAGGCACGTGGAGGGCGAGGGCGGGGTGGCAGAGGAGCAGGCGGCGCAGAGTGGGGCGGTTGACGCCCCAGTGCAGGGCGAGGAAGCGCAACACTGGAGGCAGGTGTTTGTCATTCTGCTGCTGCTGCTCATGCTGCTGCTGCTGCTCCTTCCCCTCGTCTTGATGCTCGTGCTCCCGCTGCTGCTGTTGCTCGCCTGTCCTGCTGCAGGTGCTGCCATTGCTGGTGCTGCCGCTGCTGGTGCTGCCATTGCTGGTGCTGCCGCTGCTGGTGCTGCTGCTGGTGCTGCTGGTGCTGCTACTTCCTCCTTCCTCCTCCGGCTTATCCGCCACCTCCACTCCATCCAAATCATCACAACCGTCCGCTTCCGCTTCCCAAGCCAGGAAATCTGGGAATCCAGCAACGAGAGCCGGCAATGCAGTGGACGGGTCATCCAATAACGTGACGCCACGTCGCTGCGCTGCCAGCTGGCGGAATTGGGAGAGGGAAGAGAGAGTGACGGAACCGTCAACCTGAAGCTCTGGACACAAAACCCCAAATTTGAAACCCCAAATACAAAACCCTGAGCTCAAACAAAACCTGAAACCCAAACCCTGAAACCTTCAATCCAGCACCCTGAATGTGAAACCCCTGAACATGAGACAGATGAAGGTACCTTCTGAAAGAAACCCAGAGACTGCTGCAGCAGCACATCGTCATCCTTTGCAATGACTGTCAACCGTCCGATCGCCCGCTGGATCAACGGCCCAACAGGAGCCACTCCCACCCGCCCCCCTCCCTTGTTCCCCCCTCCACCATCTCCACTCTCCTCCTCTTCTCTCCCTCCCCCCTCACCTCTCTCCTCCTCCCCTCCTTCCTGCTCTCTTCTCCGCTCCCCCTCCATAGCGCCCTGAGCTCTCCTATTCTCACTTCCTTCCCCCGCCGTGCTTGTTACAGGGTTTTTGTTGCTGGTGGGAATAGTGCTGGTGGGGGTGGTGGTAGTGGGAGTGCTGTGGGTGTCAGATGGGGAACTTTCGCAGTGAATGCTGGTTTGGGTGGGCGTCACAGGGGCAGCATCGAGAAGGCTGCTGAGAAGCAGAATTTTCTTCCACACGCTCCTCGCTCGCACCCCCCCACACACACGCGCCACCTGCCTCGCCCTCCCCCACGCTACCCCCACATTCTCCACCACCGCCGCCACCACCCACTCTTCTGCTTCCCCGCCCCCTCCCCCCTCCATCCGCCTTCCCCCCTTCAGCAGATCCACTAGCCGCAAGAACAGCTCCTCTTCCCCCTCCTCCTCCCCCTGCCCTTCCCCGTCCCCCTCCTCTTCCCCCTCCTCCTCCCCCTGCCCCTCCACCTCCCCCTCCCCCTCCCCCTCCCCCTCCCCTTTCCCCTCCCCCTCTCTCTCCCCCTCCTTTTCCCCATCGCCCTCCCACACGAATGCCCTCAATTCTTGCTCGCGATCCTCCCTTCCTCCCTGCGCGTCCCCCTTATACCCGTCTGAACCCTCAACCCTGCCGAAGGGTTCGGGGTTGCCAGCCAACTGTTCTAATAAAGAAGGGCGATCCACTACCGAAGGGTGATCAGCTCTGCTCCCCGTTCTGCCCTCTGTTCCACTCTCGGGTGTGCCTTCAGGTGTGTTTTCAGGTGCATCTTCAGGTATTTTTCTTGGACTGAGCCCAGAGCGTCTGAGCTTCCTTTCAAGTTCAGCCGCACCCTGTTCGTCAGCATCTCGCTCTAACACGAACTGTGCGAAACCCGTTACGTTTCTCGCCACAACCTTCGCATGGTCTTCGCTAAACCCTTCGTCCTGCACTAAAACCACAGCCAGAGCCGCCCGCGCGATCTCTAACCTTCTCAGGCCAACCTTCCCCGATCCCTCCGTCGTTTCCTCAATCCCTCCCCCTCCGCCAGCGCTCCCGCCAGAGCTTCCCCTCAGCTTTCCCCCGAATCTTCCCCCCGCCGCCTCCGCGGGTACGTTCCCCCCCGCGGTGGCATCCGCGCGGACATGGCTCCTTGCGCGGGAATCGATAACGCGGATCCCACGCGATCGTCTGTTCGTGCGAACATCTGCGACACTAGTTGCATGCGATCGCCAGCTTGTGCGACCAGCTGTGACAGGGATCGGTGCGGATATGTGAGAGTTACTAGTCAACGAATCGGGGAGCCGGGGTTGACCAGAGTTGTCTTCAGCTGACCTGTGCGAGAGGGTAGACCAAGAGTGATGCGCGGATCTTTGACCGCTGATGCCTGTCGTTGACCGGGTTTGACGGCTGGTCAACGGGAGTATAGGAGAGCCGCTGGACCTGGATTCGCGAGAACGAGGAGTCAACGGGTGGGAGGCTCGTTGACTGCTGTTGACTGCCGCTGACGGTAGGTGACACAGCAGCGACCGCAGAGCGGAGTCCGATGCGTACATAGCAGGGCGAGCAAGTGGAGCACACGAGGTGAGAGTGACAAATGGCAAGACATGGCGACAGGAGGTGACGCGCGTTGTTGTTTTTTAGTATACGTTTAATCTATACCAGTTCATTGTACAAATATCCTGCTATAGCTCAGTTGGTAGAGCGGAGGACTGTAGTTGAGCAATCCTTAGGTCACTGGTTCGAATCCGGTTGGCGGGAACGTTTTTGCTCTCGAGCACTGTCACGGTGCCTTTTGCTGCCCTTTCGCGTTGGCGAGAGATACGGTTCGCTGACGGGTGTTTTCTTCAACGGCCTTTCCATCCAAAGCCCTTGTTATGTTTCTAGCCGTTGAACGACATTCCGAAGTTCAACGAAGTCCTGCGCAGACTTGCGACACCTCATAAACACTTCGTGGATGCTACTCCCATCGATCGTCTCGCAATGGCTGCCCGCGTAGCACGGCGGGTGGGGAAGATCTCCGCCGTTGATAGCACGCCGTTCGTCTCTGCACTCCTTTCTGAAGCCTTCGCATGGCGTCGCACGTTTGTGTCGTCGCCAATGTCGCCAGCATCGTTAGCTTCGCCTTCGTCCCCCGTGATGGCAGCGCCAGTAGGGGAAAGCGTGGCGCAAGCTACGGGAAGTTCCGTGCCAGCTGGGGAAAGCGCGGGGGAAAGCGGTGCGCAAGCGGTAGGGGAAGGTGGCGCAGGGGCAGCGGAAAGCAGCGCGCGATCAGGGGGAAACAATGCGCGGGCTGTAGGGGGAAGCGGCGCACGAACCATCGGGGGAATCACCGCGCGCACGGCAGGGGGAGGCGGCGCGCGCGCGGTGGTGCGCGTGGTGCGCGCGGACGGGATGGACGTGGAGGCGCAGCTGCGGCTGGAGGAGAAGCTTCTCAGAAGCGACCCGACGAACAGCAACTGGTTCGTCTTCAATGCTGACGTGGCAGCACCGACCATCGTGATGGGGATTTCAGGGTGAGCCATTTTTATTCTTTCAGTGTTCCCTACTTGGCCCTTTCTTGTAGGCTCTCTCCTTTTCTTCTTGCCTGCTCCTCTTGGCCCTTCCTTTTGGCTCTTGGCCATAGATTGCCCTCTCTCCTGTGCTCTTTGCACCCGCCAGGCTCTTTTCCCCTTCGCCCCATCCCTCTCAGCCCTCGCCCAATCTGTCTGTACCTGGAAGGATCCCTTACAAGGTTTTGTCCCCCATCCCTACACCCTCTCCCCCTTACTCCTACCCCCTCCTCCTCACCCCTTCTCCCTCGTCCCTCCTCCCCGCTCATTCCCCCTCTTCCCCCCTTTTCCCTCCTCCCGCACTCCTCCGCACCAGCAAGCCGCACGAGCTGCTTCACACCGAGGCTGTCCTTGAGGCTCGGGTGCCAGTGGTCCGCCGGTTCAGCGGCGGAGGTACGGTGGTGTTGGACTCAGGCTCGGTGCTGACGAGCCTGATCTGCCGGCGCAGCGCGGTGCCGAACCTGCCGCTGTACCCGCGGCCCATAATGGAGTGGACGGAAGGGCTGCTGCAACCCGCAATGGCGAATGTTCCGGGTTTTGCCTTGAGGGATAATGGTGAGCAAGTGGATAGAATGAAGTCGCAGCATGAATTGCATTGCAAACCATTGTTACTCATGAGAGCTGAATGGAGCACACGGAATGCCTGAGAAATTCAGCAGAATTATTCATTCAACATGTGGTCTTGCTCAAAAGAAAGAAAAGCCTTTGTTATGCCCCATGCCCCAACCCTGATGTCTCTGTAAAATTACTGTGCCACGTCATCAGACTGCAAACATGCCCCCTGCCCTGACCCCCGACCCCCAATCCCCCTGCACTGTCATGGCGCCACGTCATCAGACTACATAGTGGGGGGCAACGCGCAAAGCATCACGGTCACCGCCTTTTGAGGTGCCTCAAAGGACTATGTGCCATGCCCCAAACCCAAACCCCCTTCGCCATCCCTGTGCCACGTCATCAGACTACGTGGTGGGAGATCTCAAGGTGGGCGGCAATGCACAGAGCATCACGGGCAGCAGCTTTCTGCACCACACGTCGTTCCTGTGGGACTTCTGCTTGCACAGGATGGCACTGCTGCGGCAGCCCTCGCGTGCTCCTGAGTACAGACAGGTGAGTGTGTGACATATCGTGTTCGATATGGGGTATGAATGGAATCTCAGTTTGACTGCTTTTCTGTGTAACCAACAGTGTCTGGGCCGAGAGAGTTTGGTGAATTGAGGCATGTGAGTGTGGTATGTCGTGTGACTGTATGGTGAAGGATGTGCTCAATCCATCTAGCCATTACCTGCTTATCATGGCGTTTGGACTTTTCAAAAGCAGTATGTTCTCGTCTATAATCACTTCCTCTGGTCTCTTTCAATCTCTCTTTTTCAGGGGCGCTCCCATGATCAGTTTATCACCAAACTATGTCAATATTACTCGACAAAGGACGAATTCTTGAGATCTGTCCTAGTTGCTCTCGCTCTGCACTTTGATCTGCGGGCAACTGCTCTCCACCAAGTAGAGGCTTTGCCATTCCAGCCTTGGAAGTCCGGTGTTGCTGTTCTTGCTCGGGATGAGTTAACTAGTGCTCCTAGTTTGTGAACTCATACGCGTAAATGGATATGCAGTTTTTCTTGGTTCATTCACTGTAAGGTCAACCTTGTTGCAGATGATCAGTTTGATGTTCTTGCAACGAATCAGGCCAACACTGGCCAGACGCAACCCACAGTAAAGAAACTAGAACCGTCTCTACCGTACGATTTTCGGTTTTCCCCGTTTCCCCCCGCTCTCCGCGCAAGAACAACCACATCGCAGATTCCCCAAACGAGCCGCACAACTTGCTGACATGACAGCACCATCACTCCCCCAGCGCGTGCTCCTGCGCAGAAGTGTTTCCGCTCCTCCACCGCTGTGACGTCTGTTCCGCTGCGGTTGCTGCCGCTGCCTTGGGAATGCCAGAATCGTCGAATCCATCCTCTCCATTTGTCAGCCCGTGCATTTGTTTGCCGTACACTTCAACCCCAACGGCGAGTGGCGTTTGCCCTCCCTAGATTTCACCAACAGCACCAAAGCGCAGCGCAGCCATCTCTAGGGAATATACACTTCCCAGGGCTGTTGAATGGCTGCGTGGAGCCCCATCTCCGCGAAAGCCACCCCTGCTGCCTGCTCTTCCTCGCTCGCTACGCTATCAGGCTCCTACAGGCGCTTATTTAGCGTTACTCCCGCCGCTCTTTGCGGGATTTCCAGCGGATCTTGTCCTGCCGTAGCTGGGAATAGCCTCGGCTGTGATCTGCTTGGTGCTCAGCTCCCTGCGTCCCGCCAATCGTGGGGGACCGCGAATAAACGCGTTTCTGCTCCCGGATCGTTGACATTGTTCAGGTACTTCGCGAGTCGGTAACCGGAATTGTCAGTAGCAATCAAGGCCTTCGATATCTGTCAGTGATTAACTGCATCCTAGCCGTGCGTTCAACTTTGTGCGGCGTTGCCCTGCTCATGTGGAGCAACCTGATTTGATACGTCCTGTCTATTTTCGAGATTGTCATAGCTGTCAACTCTGTTGCATGTTATAATCACATTCGCAATGGGCGAAGCCAGACTTCGTCGCCAATGTCAAATAATCTCTTCTCCGCAGTTCTTCTTCCGTTTTCCCTGCTTATTGAGCAATCCATTCTCCACATATGTCCTCTGTTACACCTGCTAGGAGCCATTATCATTCTTCTCGGCTCGTCGTCAAGGCTGCTGCCGCCATGAGCCCGCTGTCAGGTATCCTCGAAGGCCGATCATGTTCGAGCCTCGCGAAATCGTTCGCGAAACAGCCTGCTCCTGTCACCCTATTCGTTTCGCTATTCCTCGCCGTGGGTGTCGTGGTCGCGGTTGGAGGAGTCATGGTTACCAATAGCGATAGAAGCAGCAGCAGCAGTGCGAGGAATGACCGTTGTCCGAGCTCCAACAAGCATTGTTCTGCGAATCCGGGACTCTCAACACCCGCTTCAGACGACATGTTGCCATTCGGCAAGCAAGCCCTTCGCTGCGCTCCCCTCTCTCTCTTTTTCTCCTTGCTATCACCACTCCATTGCTCTCTTTCCTCGACTGTACATTAGTCTTCCAAGCTTCTTTTTCCGGACGCTCTAAAAAAATCATGACCGTCGCCATCCCCGTGTCCTCCTACTCCCCTGTTTTGAAGCGCCGCAAACCATTACCACGTGCCTCTTCAATCTACCACGTGTCGTACGTTCTTCGCCCTCACTTCCCTTTTCCCTTTACCCCCTCCCCTCCCCTCCCAACGCACCCTCACCCAAACTCCACCTTCCCCCCAGGCACACCAGCGGCGAAGACCATCGTGCTGCCAGCCAAGGCGGGGAAGCATGCGGCCACTGTGGTGTGGCTGCACGGGCTGGGGGATACCGGCTACGGCTGGTCCGATCTCTGCGAGACAGTTAACCTCCCACATGTACGTGAATTTACTTTTGATAATCTATTAACAAAAGTGATCCCGGAAATACCAGATACGGTTGGTCTGATCTCTGCGAGACAGTCAACCTCCTGTATGCATGGGCAATGGGCGTGCCTTGCATGCATGTATGTGCCTGCAGATGTTTCACATGTGCTAACACACGTGTCACGTGTGTGCATGCTTGACATGTATGTGCCTCTCCCACATCTATGTGAATCTCATCTCCATATGCATGGACGCTCTTGGTGTTTTTGAGAATTCTCAAAAACACCCTGCAGCATCTCCATATGCATGGACGCTCTTCCACGCCCATCTCGTTCCCCCCTTGTCTCATTCTTCCCTCCGTCCGTCCCATGCATTGCATTGCATGCAGATCAAGTGGATTCTCCCCAGCGCCCCCATCGCCCCTGTCACAATCAATGGTGGCATGCCATGCCCCTCATGTGAGTACCCACAAGTCATTCCCCTTAATGTGAGTGAGATCTCCCATGCCATGCCCCATTAAGTCAGAACTGACATGCCATGCCCCTCATGAGGGTATTTGGCTTCTCATGTGAGTGTGGCTCCTCGTGGGAGCATTCACATGCCATGCCTTGCCTTACGCTGTATCAACTCCCCTCACCTTGCTTCATCTCCCCCAATCTCGCCTTATCTCATCGCATCTCGCCTCGACACTCCTCTTGTGTTGCACCACCACCTTCGCCCCACCCCACCAGGGTTCGACCTGTTTGGGCTGGACGCCAGTGCACGGGACGACGTGAAGGGCATTGATGCCGCTGCCAGATATGTGGCCGAGATTCTGGAGGAGGAGAAGCGAGCCAACCCTGGTGGGTGGAGTGCGGTACTTGGTGCTTGGTTGTAAGAGGGCTAGGTGTCGAGGACGTTGATGTGGCTGTGAGATATGTGGTTGAAAATCTGTAGGAGAGGTGGGCCAATCCTGGTTGGGCCCTTTGAAAAGAACGCTTCTTTTCCCTGCCCTCCCGCCCTCACCAGACGTCAAGTTTGCAGTGGGAGGCTTCAGCCAAGGGGGCGCCCTCTCCCTCTACCTCATGTCCCGGAAAGTTCTGGGGAAGTTTGAGGATGGTTCTGATGCCTCGGCTGTACCACTCCATGCCTCTGTTGCCTTCAGCGGCTGGCTGCCCAAGTGCAGGTGGGTATGAACGGCGGGCCCTGGGGAAGGTTTAGCATAGTTGGATGGGGTGCGCTTTGCTCATTGACAGTTGGGTATGGGGTAGGTGGGGCGTGGGGAAGGGTGAAATAGTCTGCTTAAGTGCAGGCAGGAGTTGGGAAGAGTGGGATAGGGGAGACGATGTGCTTGGCCTGCTGCCATTTTTTCTTATTTTCCTTCTTTGAAAGGGGGGGGCTTTGGAGTAGGGTTATTATTGCTGCTGCTACCTGCTTTGAAACTCGCAATCGAACCACCCCCCTTCCGATCCGCATTCCTTTTTTCTCCCTCCTTTCCCGCTTATGGCAAGCAGTCTGAAGCCCGGAGGCAGTGCAGCAGTGGGGGATGCGTCAGTGGCAGAGAAGGCGGCTGCCCACCCTTTGCTCATGGCGCATGGGGAAGGTAGGCTGGTGGGGTGGTGGCACATGGGGAAGGTAGGCTGGTGGGGATTGTGCATGGGGAAGGCAGGCTGGTGGAGTGATGGCACATGGGCAAAAGGAGGGACGGGAGGGGCTTGAGGGGAGATGGGGAAAAATGGGGATGGGATGGAGAAAAGGGGGAATGGGAGGGGTTGGCGAGACGGGGGATGAAGGCGTAAGGGAAGGCGGGGAGGTTGACCAGGGATGGGGGAAAAGGAGGGGGGGGTGGGGTGGGGGTGGCAATGACTCAGCTACAGTCGTTGCAACAAACATCCTGGTTGGTCCTCTTAGCCTTTCACAGGGGCTCGGTTCATATGCTTCAGTAAGGTGCTTCAATGCACAATCTGTTGATGTTTTCCCCCTCCTGTCCATCGTGCGTGCTCATGCCATGGCGTGAATCTGTTTCCGTACAGCAGGCGGCTTGTTGCAGTTGGCCGTTTGGCAAAAGAACTGGATCCCTACCTAGCCTAGGCACCTATGGAATAGTGAAGATTAGGACAATATTGCTCTGTTGGATCTGGGTCGAATCTATACTTCTCTGCAACAGACGGCTTCGTGCAGTTCGCCCTTTTGGCAAAAGTTCGTACCAGGTGATGCAGGAAGGTGCATGTGGATCCATGAGCAATTCGTGAAGTATCTCTCCCCGCTCGTCTCCCATGCGTGCTCATGCCCTCCCCATGCAGCGGACAGCCTTGTGCCATTCGCCTCTGGCAAGGGGTCGGCTCAGGTGCTGCAGAAAGGTGCATGCGCATCTGTGAACGACTCGTGAAATATCTCTCTCTCTGCTCTCATCCCCCGTGCGTGCTCGTGCCCTCCCCACGCAGCGGACAGCCTTGTGCCATTCGCCTTTGGCAAGGGGTCGGCTCGGGTGCTGCAGGAAGCAGGATTCTCCAACCTCACCTTCAAGTCGTACCGCGGGTGGGTGAAGGCTTGTTATGGGAGGGGCTTCCCTTGAAATCTGGTGCATTTCTACTTGCTTTGCATTGTTTCGGCGTGATCTGCATGATTTCTACATGTTTCACATGATTCATCATCCACGAGTTCCTTTCGGTCGCTTAGTCTGCAGGTTGTTTCATCGCAACTTGTGCCTCCATATTGTTACATTAATTCTCGCATGAGGTGTCATATATCGTCCATACTAGCACATCTTTTGAAGTCATGCCCAAACCTGTTTCTACCCCACTCACACCCCCCTCCCCCACAGCATGGCCCACTCTGCTTGTCCAGAAGAGCTAGCAGATCTCGAAGCCTGGCTGCAAAAGAACGTGCCACCACCCTCTTAATTTCCTGCCTGCAACATTGCATGTCAAGGTGCCCCCAAGCCACTTGCAGTTCTGTGGACTTTATAAGACATGGAAGAATGTATTTTGATAGCATTCTATCTATTTCCGGCGGATTACTGAAGCACACAAAACTCTACCCATTTTCCCTTGATTCTCCCCTGTTTTAAGACACGTTGTACTAGATGGTTAAGAATGCACCGAGATCAACCGTTAGTGAAGGTGGGGGAAAGCCCTCTCCACCGCGTGCGACATCTAAACGGCATTCCTCCTGCAATACGACTGGCTGATAGATTTCGCCTTCACTCGCGCGAAGCCCTTGGTCCGCAAGCAAACTCGACACCAGCACCCCTCGTTTCACGCAAATGTTCCATTCCATGGTGGCGAATTCGTAAGAATATTCGAGTCAAAATCTTTTCCGCGCGAAACACGCCCCGACCCAACCACGCCTGGTCAATCCCTTCTCGGCATTTCAAACCACTCGTTATTGCTTGCGTGTGATACGAGCGTTCGGGATTGGTCGTGGAATGAAGTCGCAACCAATCGCAATGTCAAAATGTGGATGTGAAATTTTAGCATACATGCGAGACCAATCAGAAGCGTTGCTGGCTGGGTTCTGGTCTGGAACCTGGTCCGAGCTGGTCCGTGAAATTGAGTCCTGATATCCCATTCCAGGTTCCTTATCCCAGCCTCCTTCAGTTAAAGCCCAAGACCTGAATTACAAAAAGTAGTAGGCAAACTGTGCACAGTTTGCCTACCGAACCCAGAGTTGACCTCCCGAGCCAAGCTGGTTACCAGAAAACATCCCGCAACAAAACTCAGAGTCGTGGAGCAGAAGAGGTTTGGTTGGCGAGAGCCCCAACCACACCCCCAGCAAGAACAAGGGCTCGGAATGTTCACAGTTTGCAAAAATGGTAATTCAGGCCGTGCTTCTACCGATAGTACGCGAGCTCCTCATGCGAAGAGAGAATAAAGCATAGGCCATGAGCACTTCCGCCTTGATTCCTAGCCATCATACGGCTTATTTAGAACTCCAGACGTATCTATCCCACGGCCGATATAGAGACCTCGATTACTTTTCTGGTCGTAGCTTATCGGCGTGACAGCAAGGCGAGGCCATATCACGTTTCCGCACTCGGTCGCCCTGGCATCGCCCTTCCGCAAATATCGCATTTGGCCTTATCGTCTTCCGCGTCCCCCACGCTTCCCCCAACCGTCTCTTGCATACCCCCCACGCACACGCCCACGCTTTCCCTCATCGTCGCTCACGCTTTCCCCCACCGTTGCTCACGCTTCCCCTTACCGCCACTCACGCTTCCTCCTGCCTTCACCCACGCTTCCCCATACCGTCGAGAGCGTCTTCCCCCACCTTCACGCATCGCCGCTCATCGCCCACGCTTTCTCCCACCGTCGCCCACGCTTTCTCCCACCGTCGCCCACGATTTCTCCCACCGTCGCCCACGATTTCTCCCACCGTCGACCACGATTTCTCCCACCGTCGCCCACGATTTCACCCACCGTCGCCCACGATTTCTCCCACCGTCGCCCACGATTTCACCCACCGTCGCCCACGATTTCTCCCACCGTCGCCCACACTTCCCCGCACCGTCGCCCACGCTTTCCCCCACCGTCGCCCGCGCGTCCCCTCCCATCGCCCTCCCTGTCGCCTGGAAATTTCCCTTACCGCCGACCTCCCTTCCCTCGCGCCTCTCTCCACGTCGCCATCACTCCCCTGCCTATCACGTTCCCCCTCTTCATCACCATCGCTTCTCCACCTACGCCGCCCACCCTCTCATCCATTCCTATCGTTGCTTCCCTCCCCTTTGACTCAATGAGTCTCTCTCGCTCTTCCCATTGCCACTCTCGCTACTCCTACACCACCCACCCTGCCTCCTCCTCTCTCTTGCGCCAACCTCCTCTCTCTTGCACCAACCGCTCACGCATGGCAGGTGCTGCTGCGGCTTTGGAGCAGAGTGCTGGGCGCACAGCCGGGGCAGCGCGTGCAGGCGGGCAGCAAGGAGCGTAGTGCTGCAGGGGGCGGGGCAGGGGAGCGGGGGAGGCGGGGCAGGGGAGCGGGGGAGGCGGGGCAAGGGAGCGGGGGAGGCTCGGCAGGGGAGCGGGGGAGGCGGGGCATGGGAGCGGGGGAGGCGGGGCAGGGGAGCGGGGCAGGCGGCGCAGGGGAGCGCGCGAGGTGGGGGGTAGGGAGAGAGGGTGCAGGGATCCTCCTATCCCCCGTTCCATCCTTATACCTTGCTGCAGTTTTACCTCTTACCCTCCTCCCTTACTCCGTTCCTTCGTTCCCCCAGTCGTCCTCCTCTTCCTCTCTCTTCCTCCCTTCCTCCATCTCTCCCACACTCTCAGCCTCACTACCCTCTTTCCCCTCTCTGTCGCCCGTCCTCCCTCCCTCCCTTCCTCCCGTTCTCCCTTCCTGCCATTCTCACATTTCTTTCATCCTCCCTCGATCCAGACCCCTTCCTCTTTCCATCTCCCGCTCTCCTACTCTCTTCCTCACTCCAACCCTGCGTGTCAGTTTCACCCTTTTACCTTCCCCATTGTACCCGGTCACACTCTTTCCTCCCTCCTTCGTCCCTCTCTTTCTCCCTCTTTCCCCTTCACTTTCTCCCATCCACCCTTCCTCTCATCCCAATGTCCTCTCATCCGCCCTTTCTCTCATCCGCCCTTTCTCTCATCCGCCCGTCATCCTCCCCTCCTCCGACCCAACATCGTCTCCTCCTACTTCCCTTCCTTTAATCATCTATTTCTCTCATCCCAACCCTCTCTCTCCTCCCTCACCTCCTCTACTTCGTCACCACCTCTCCTCCCTCTTCGCCTCCCATTCCACATCTCCGCTGTGCAGATTGTGGCATCAGCACCCGGGTTTCAAGAGAGTTTCTGTCCCCTCTTGTTCCCATCCCTCCAATCATTTGCTCCTCTTCACCCCATCCCCTCCCTTCCCTTGAACGAGCGCGCTCATTCCCCTCCCGTCACCCACTCACACACCCTCCCCTCGACCTACAAGTCGTTCTCCGCTTCCGTCGCATACGCGTTCATTTCCCCTTCCCTCATCTCTGCATTCCTCACCTCCCCTTCCCTCATCTCCGCATTCCTCACCAACCCTTCCCTCATCTCCGCATACCTCATCTCCCCTTCCCTCATCTCCCCATGCCATCCTATCTCCAACTCCTCCCCCTATCCCTCCTCTCGCAATCCCTCCACTTCCAAAGCCATCATTTTCTCATTCCCTCCCCTCCCCGCCCCGTTCCTCCATGTCTCCCATCTGCCGTACCTCACCTCCATCTCACCCACCCAACCTCCATCCTTGTTATCTCCCTGCCACCCTTTCTCCTCCCCACCCTCCTCCCCAGCCTCTCTTCATCCCCTCCCTTCTGCTTCTCCCCCAAGCGTCCTTCCTACCTCCCTTCCTCCCATCATCACTTGCTGTCTTCCTTCATTCCTGCATTCCTCACTTCCTCCCTTCCTCCCTTCCTCCCTTCCTCCCTTATTTGCCAGTTTTCATTCTTTTGCATGCTTGCTTCCCTTATACTTCAGCCACGTCACATCTGACTTCTTGGTTTGTGTTTGGACAGGTCTGCTCTGCATCGGGTTGTGATGTGATGGCTGTCTGATCGTAACACGACGTATAGCCATGCCATGTATTGGATATTTTTATATAATACAGGATTATGAGCCTCGGAGCAGTCATACACATGACCAATACCAAGGAGTTGAACAATTATTATATTACCATATCTGTAAATTTAGGGGAACAATGCTAGGGGGTGTGTGTGCAATGTTGCTTCCCGGTTTTGACTGGTACACTGCCCCCAATAATCCAGGCCGTGGTAAAGCCACATCTGGTGCTGGGCACCTGTAACTGCATTGGGTAATGTGGGGGTGAGTGAAGGGGGAAAGACAGCAAACGGAATGAGCAGGGGGGAAGAGAAGAAGCAGCGGGGGACAGATTGAACAGAGGGGGAGGGAGGAAGCAGGGGGGAAGAGAGTGAGCAGATAAGAAGGGGAGGGAGCAAGGGGGAAACAGAGGGAGCAAGGGGGAAACAGAGGGAGCAAGGGGGAAACAGAGGGAGCAAGGGGGAAACAGAGGGAGCAAGGGGGAAACAGAGGGAGCAAGGGGGAAACAGAGGGAGCAAGGGGGAAACAGAGGGAGCAAGGGGGAAACAGAGGGAGCAAGGGGGAAACAGAGGGAGCAAGGGTGAAACAGAGGGAGCAAGGGTGAAACAGAGGGAGCAAGGGTGAAACAGAGGGAGCAAGGGTGAAACAGAGGGAGCAAGGGTGAAACAGAGGGAGCAAGGGTGAAACAGAGGGAGCAAGGGTGAAACAGAGGGAGCAAGGGTGAAACAGAGGGAGCAAGGGTGAAACAGAGGGAGCAAGGGTGAAACAGAGGGAGCAAGGGTGAAACAGAGGGAGCAAGGGTGAAACAGAGGGAGCAAGGGTGAAACAGAGGGAGCAAGGGTGAAACAGAGGGAGCAAGGGTGAAACAGAGGGAGCAAGGGTGAAACAGAGGGAGCAAGGGTGAAACAGAGGGAGCAAGGGTGAAACAGAGGGAGCAAGGGTGAAACAGAGGGAGCAAGGGTGAAACAGAGGGAGCAAGGGTGAAACAGAGGGAGCAAGGGTGAAACAGAGGGAGCAAGGGTGAAACAGAGGGAGCAAGGGTGAAACAGAGGGAGCAAGGGTGAAACAGAGGGAGCAAGGGTGAAACAGAGGGAGCAAGGGTGAAACAGAGGGAGCAAGGGTGAAACAGAGGGAGCAAGGGTGAAACAGAGGGAGCAAGGGTGAAACAGAGGGAGCAAGGGTGAAACAGAGGGAGCAAGGGTGAAACAGAGGGAGCAAGGGTGAAACAGAGGGAGCAAGGGTGAAACAGAGGGAGCAAGGGTGAAACAGAGGGAGCAAGGGTGAAACAGAGGGAGCAAGGGTGAAACAGAGGGAGCAAGGGTGAAACAGAGGGAGCAAGGGTGAAACAGAGGGAGCAAGGGTGAAACAGAGGGAGCAAGGGTGAAACAGAGGGAGCAAGGGTGAAACAGAGGGAGCAAGGGTGAAACAGAGGGAGCAAGGGTGAAACAGAGGGAGCAAGGGTGAAACAGAGGGAGCAAGGGTGAAACAGAGGGAGCAAGGGTGAAACAGAGGGAGCAAGGGTGAAACAGAGGGAGCAAGGGTGAAACAGAGGGAGCAAGGGTGAAACAGAGGGAGCAAGGGTGAAACAGAGGGAGCAAGGGTGAAACAGAGGGAGCAAGGGTGAAACAGAGGGAGCAAGGGTGAAACAGAGGGAGCAAGGGTGAAACAGAGGGAGCAAGGGTGAAACAGAGGGAGCAAGGGTGAAACAGAGGGAGCAAGGGTGAAACAGAGGGAGCAAGGGTGAAACAGAGGGAGCAAGGGTGAAACAGAGGGAGCAAGGGTGAAACAGAGGGAGCAAGGGTGAAACAGAGGGAGCAAGGGTGAAACAGAGGGAGCAAGGGTGAAACAGAGGGAGCAAGGGTGAAACAGAGGGAGCAAGGGTGAAACAGAGGGAGCAAGGGTGAAACAGAGGGAGCAAGGGTGAAACAGAGGGAGCAAGGGTGAAACAGAGGGAGCAAGGGTGAAACAGAGGGAGCAAGGGTGAAACAGAGGGAGCAAGGGTGAAACAGAGGGAGCAAGGGTGAAACAGAGGGAGCAAGGGTGAAACAGAGGGAGCAAGGGTGAAACAGAGGGAGCAAGGGTGAAACAGAGGGAGCAAGGGTGAAACAGAGGGAGCAAGGGTGAAACAGAGGGAGCAAGGGTGAAACAGGGGGAGCAAGGGTGAAACAGAGGGAGCAAGGGTGAAACAGAGGGAGCAAGGGTGAAACAGAGGGAGCAAGGGTGAAACAGAGGGAGCAAGGGTGAAACAGAGGGAGCAAGGGTGAAACAGAGGGAGCAAGGGTGAAACAGAGGGAGCAAGGGTGAAACAGAGGGAGCAAGGGTGAAACAGAGGGAGCAAGGGTGAAACAGAGGGAGCAAGGGTGAAACAGAGGGAGCAAGGGTGAAACAGAGGGAGCAAGGGTGAAACAGAGGGAGCAAGGGTGAAACAGAGGGAGCAAGGGTGAAACAGAGGGAGCAAGGGTGAAACAGAGGGAGCAAGGGTGAAACAGAGGGAGCAAGGGTGAAACAGAGGGAGCAAGGGTGAAACAGAGGGAGCAAGGGTGAAACAGAGGGAGCAAGGGTGAAACAGAGGGAGCAAGGGTGAAACAGAGGGAGCAAGGGTGAAACAGAGGGAGCAAGGGTGAAACAGAGGGAGCAAGGGTGAAACAGAGGGAGCAAGGGTGAAACAGAGGGAGCAAGGGTGAAACAGAGGGAGCAAGGGTGAAACAGAGGGAGCAAGGGTGAAACAGAGGGAGCAAGGGTGAAACAGAGGGAGCAAGGGTGAAACAGAGGGAGCAAGGGTGAAACAGAGGGAGCAAGGGTGAAACAGAGGGAGCAAGGGTGAAACAGAGGGAGCAAGGGTGAAACAGAGGGAGCAAGGGTGAAACAGAGGGAGCAAGGGTGAAACAGAGGGAGCAAGGGTGAAACAGAGGGAGCAAGGGTGAAACAGAGGGAGCAAGGGTGAAACAGAGGGAGCAAGGGTGAAACAGAGGGAGCAAGGGTGAAACAGAGGGAGCAAGGGTGAAACAGAGGGAGCAAGGGTGAAACAGAGGGAGCAAGGGTGAAACAGAGGGAGCAAGGGTGAAACAGAGGGAGCAAGGGTGAAACAGAGGGAGCAAGGGTGAAACAGAGGGAGCAAGGGTGAAACAGAGGGAGCAAGGGTGAAACAGAGGGAGCAAGGGTGAAACAGAGGGAGCAAGGGTGAAACAGAGGGAGCAAGGGTGAAACAGAGGGAGCAAGGGTGAAACAGAGGGAGCAAGGGTGAAACAGAGGGAGCAAGGGTGAAACAGAGGGAGCAAGGGTGAAACAGAGGGAGCAAGGGTGAAACAGAGGGAGCAAGGGTGAAACAGAGGGAGCAAGGGTGAAACAGAGGGAGCAAGGGTGAAACAGAGGGAGCAAGGGTGAAACAGAGGGAGCAAGGGTGAAACAGAGGGAGCAAGGGTGAAACAGAGGGAGCAAGGGTGAAACAGAGGGAGCAAGGGTGAAACAGAGGGAGCAAGGGTGAAACAGAGGGAGCAAGGGTGAAACAGAGGGAGCAAGGGTGAAACAGAGGGAGCAAGGGTGAAACAGAGGGAGCAAGGGTGAAACAGAGGGAGCAAGGGTGAAACAGAGGGAGCAAGGGTGAAACAGAGGGAGCAAGGGTGAAACAGAGGGAGCAAGGGTGAAACAGAGGGAGCAAGGGTGAAACAGAGGGAGCAAGGGTGAAACAGAGGGAGCAAGGGTGAAACAGAGGGAGCAAGGGTGAAACAGAGGGAGCAAGGGTGAAACAGAGGGAGCAAGGGTGAAACAGAGGGAGCAAGGGTGAAACAGAGGGAGCAAGGGTGAAACAGAGGGAGCAAGGGTGAAACAGAGGGAGCAAGGGTGAAACAGAGGGAGCAAGGGTGAAACAGAGGGAGCAAGGGTGAAACAGAGGGAGCAAGGGTGAAACAGAGGGAGCAAGGGTGAAACAGAGGGAGCAAGGGTGAAACAGAGGGAGCAAGGGTGAAACAGAGGGAGCAAGGGTGAAACAGAGGGAGCAAGGGTGAAACAGAGGGAGCAAGGGTGAAACAGAGGGAGCAAGGGTGAAACAGAGGGAGCAAGGGTGAAACAGAGGGAGCAAGGGTGAAACAGAGGGAGCAAGGGTGAAACAGAGGGAGCAAGGGTGAAACAGAGGGAGCAAGGGTGAAACAGAGGGAGCAAGGGTGAAACAGAGGGAGCAAGGGTGAAACAGAGGGAGCAAGGGTGAAACAGAGGGAGCAAGGGTGAAACAGAGGGAGCAAGGGTGAAACAGAGGGAGCAAGGGTGAAACAGAGGGAGCAAGGGTGAAACAGAGGGAGCAAGGGTGAAACAGAGGGAGCAAGGGTGAAACAGAGGGAGCAAGGGTGAAACAGAGGGAGCAAGGGTGAAACAGAGGGAGCAAGGGTGAAACAGAGGGAGCAAGGGTGAAACAGAGGGAGCAAGGGTGAAACAGAGGGAGCAAGGGTGAAACAGAGGGAGCAAGGGTGAAACAGAGGGAGCAAGGGTGAAACAGAGGGAGCAAGGGTGAAACAGAGGGAGCAAGGGTGAAACAGAGGGAGCAAGGGTGAAACAGAGGGAGCAAGGGTGAAACAGAGGGAGCAAGGGTGAAACAGAGGGAGCAAGGGTGAAACAGAGGGAGCAAGGGTGAAACAGAGGGAGCAAGGGTGAAACAGAGGGAGCAAGGGTGAAACAGAGGGAGCAAGGGTGAAACAGAGGGAGCAAGGGTGAAACAGAGGGAGCAAGGGTGAAACAGAGGGAGCAAGGGTGAAACAGAGGGAGCAAGGGTGAAACAGAGGGAGCAAGGGTGAAACAGAGGGAGCAAGGGTGAAACAGAGGGAGCAAGGGTGAAACAGAGGGAGCAAGGGTGAAACAGAGGGAGCAAGGGTGAAACAGAGGGAGCAAGGGTGAAACAGAGGGAGCAAGGGTGAAACAGAGGGAGCAAGGGTGAAACAGAGGGAGCAAGGGTGAAACAGAGGGAGCAAGGGTGAAACAGAGGGAGCAAGG